TTTTTTTTCTTTGGGAAGGAAGGTGTAGTATCTACTTAGTACCTATACGTATGTTTGGGTATAATCTAATATATAAACTTTAACGTAATTACAGACAGTCTTACGTCAACACTCAAGCGTTTCATTTCTCTCGTCCTTAGACGCAAGCTGCATGCGTTAGGCATCGCAGAACTCACGTAGGTGCGAAAATATGGTTTGTCGATCATAGTCAGAATAGGTATTTCACCTAAGTAACCTAATTAATATCCCTCCATAACAACGGAAAGTCCACCGTAACGTAGGAAGAGGAAAATGTGCAAAGTAATACGGACACTCTCACGCAGCGATAAAGTTTTATTTAGCTTGCGAGCGCGATTTATCTAATGAATAATAATTATGTAAGCTATTAAACGTCGGCAAGCAGCCAACATTAAAAGAGTGAAACTTCTGTACGTAGTACTATTATTTATTCTGTGCCGATACCTAAAAAAGGTAACCGCTCTGATCCGTCTATCCGTCCAACTATAGGCCTATCGGCATCACCTCCTCGTTCTCTAAAATAATGGAATCCATTATTTACAGCTATTAGTGACCGCCAGTACGGTTTCAGTCGCGGTCGCTCGGCTGATGATCTTCTTTCTGGGTTACCTAACTCATAAATGGGCGGAAGCGGCAGAGTCCAAAGGGGAAGCGTTGGCCGTTAGTTTGGATATATATCAAAGGCCTTCGATCGGGTTTGTCACAAAGCGCTTCTTACGAAGCTTCCTTCCTATGGGCTACCCGAGAAATTATGTAATTGGATCACTATTTTTCTTACTGGCCGGAGCATTAAGGTCCTATTAGACAGTGCAGGCTTCGATTACAAGCCCATTTACGCTGGTGTTCCACAAGGCTGCGTGCTATCACCAACGCTGTTTCTTCTGCATATCAATGACATGTTGCAAACCGGCAACATTCATTGCTATGCAGACGACGGCACTGGTGATGTTTTATACACCGGCCGTGCCAATATTTAAAGCGTCGGCGAGTACCGGAACAAACTTGCGGAGCGACTAAGTCTAGTCCAGTTTAATCTCCAGAAGACACAAGCTTGCGCGTATACCGCTAAAAACAACCTCTTCGTTGTATATCCTCCGTTTCAAGGCACTCCCCTTGTTGCCTCAGCCAATATTGGAATCCTCGGCATCGACTTATCGAGTGACGTGCAGTTTCGTGATCACTTGGAAGAGAAGGCCAAATTGGCCTCTAAAAAGCTTGGCGTGCTCAGCAGAGCGGGACAGTATTTCATGCTGGCTCACCGCCTGCAACTTTATAAGGCGCAGGTTCGGTCGCACATGGAATACTGTTCCTATCTCTGGGCTGGGGCTACCCAGTGCCAGCTCCTTCTATGTGATCGCATCCAGCACAGAGCAGTTCGAATCGTCGGCGACCGAGCTCTTTCCGATCGGCTTGACTCACTAGCACTGCGAATAGATGTTGCATCTCTTTGCATATTTTATCGCATTTACCACGGGGAGAGCTCTAAGAAATTTTTCGGGCTAATTCCAGCCGCACAATTTCGCCATCGCACATCACGACAAAACTCGCGATAACATCCATACTATCTGGACGAATGGCGGTTTTCCAATGTGCGATTTAAAAGAAGTTTTCTTCCTCGCACAACTTCCTTGTAGAATCAACTACCACCAGAGATTTTTCCGGATCGATACGACTTAGGGACCTTCAAGAAAAGAGCCTATCCCTTTTTAAAAGGCTGGCAACGCACCTGCAATTCACCTGGTGTTGCAGCTATTCATGGTCGGCGGTAGTCACTTACCATCAGGTGAGCCGTATGCTTGTTTGGCCCCGCTCCTATAAAAAAATATAAGCAGCCCAATAAAAGACAGTCATTTCGATGTTACACATAGACCTTCAATTTTATTTATTTCTTAGATTAGGTTAAAGAAACTTGCTGTTTTAGCGAAAAAAGCATTGCTTGATGTCTTATTGCAAACTTCCTTAACATGTCCTATTGCTTTTTAATCTACATGATGTGGTCATTTAAGGTACATGAGGTGGTGAAGCCTTTATACTCGTAATGGCTTATTTTTACTTATATGTATAAGTTAATATATGTAAACGAAACTAAAACAACATAATTAATCTACTAAGACAAGACTCATACGCTAAAAAGCTTATATTCATTAATTTTGTCTACTTTCCTGTTTCTTCAACGCACAAATTATTAAAGCAATTTTAATTATCAGTCAGAGCCGTGGTAACTCGAATACAATCGCCTCGATCACCGCTGGCTCCAATACAATTGTTTATTTTAATTTTAAAATGCTGATTTACTAATTGAGGGAAAACCCGTCTGAGAAATAAAAATATGTCTAGCACTAAATAGCATACTCATGTTTTTTTTTTTTAAATAAAAATGTTACCTCCACAATAGAATTTTCTCCTGTACCGTTTGTACACATACATTTAACATACATACATTTTTCAAGGACAAACATCCAGACCAGAAACAATTATTTGTAGGTCATACAAATATTTGTTCCGTGCGGGATTCGAACCCGCGCCCCTTAGCGCTGCAACTCATTGCTAAGCCATTGCGCCACGGAGCCGTCAAACTACAATTTGAGTAAACAGAATGTAATTTTAAAAATTCGAATGTTGAACTTAGTTTTGAGTGGTTCACACATAGTTCACATCATTACAAATAATAATACTGGTTTATTTTGCAATAGCCGGCCAAATTTGCAGAGAAGGTTCAGAATAAATACTAAAGGCAAATGGTGGCAGGCAGGCAGGTGAAGAATATATAAAAGAATAAATTAATTAAAAGAAATCTGAAACATTTTGTCCTTTTCATCTTTTCAATTCAAAATGCGTGGTAATGCATTATTTTAAAAGATTATACTGCGCACGCACACATTCGTAAGGGTCGATCGCTAGACAAAAACGTTGTTGCCCATAAATCACATTCAATTTGGGATAATTTCAAATAAACGTACAAGGCTTATTTACTGGTATTTTAAAAAACTAGAATAATAATATTATTAATAACCAAAATGAACAGACAGACCCACAACACAATAACACTAATAATCCACGAAAACAAAAGTTAGAGGACTGGAAAAAGAAAGTACTGCCGGGACGACACCCACATGACCTAGAACAACCACATGTAGACACAGTAGCATCAAATAAATGGCTTCAAATCGGTAACCTATTCCCGGAAACTGAAGGTTTTATCATCGCAATACAATACAAAATCATCAACACTAAAAACTACAGGAAATATGTCATCAAAAATCCCCAGTAGCCAACGATAAATGCCGCAAGTGCCTCATCCAACCAGAGACAATATAACACATATCAGGAGCATGCACAACTCTCACTCATACAGAACACACTCACAGACACAACCAACTAGCAAATATCATTCATCAAAAACTAGCACTCAAACATAAACTTCCAAATACACACCCCAATGGTGTGTAATGGGTGGGACTAGCATATTCTTGAAAGTCTTTATAAAACTTGTTGATATACTATTAAGGCCTACTGCGCATTCGGATTTTAAGTTAGAAATGACGTCTAGTACTTCGGATTCTCTATTTGGTGTACTCCTACAAACGAAGAAGGAGTATAGTTATAATCGCTGGTAGAGGTTAAGTTACGATCATTATTCATCATTATCAAAATTTTTACATCTAATATCTTAGCACCACTTATTAACTTAGATGGGGACACTATTTGTTTTTTTTTGTTTGTGAGATAATTTTGATAGTTTCCCGTATTTTTTTATTATTCGGTTTTGGCTTGTGTAATTCAGATCTCTCGTATTCCGTTTTAAGTCTGCTCAATGTCTTATTGCAGTTAATCCTATACCTCTAATATGTCACTTTTAAGACTTTATTTTCCATATTGTTTTTAAACTTTTTTATGTAGGTGTTATTCATGGTTTCATGATTCGTTTACGATTAGAAATTTTAATAGTTTTGGAGTTGGTTTTTATAATTATGACGTTAGATAAGGTATCAATTAAGTAATTTGTGGCAAAACTTGCATTTGTTGTATTATAAATCGGTCAATCAATATATTTAATAATTTTTTCTAAAGAAGTGTAATCTATTTTGTTAATTATTTTGAGCTTATTGTTTAATAAGTATCAAAATAAAGGATGGTGGTAAAGTGATTTGTAATTGATATTTTATAACATAACAAAACGGCTTTCTTTACTTTTCAAGATAGTCAAATTTGTGTTCTAATGCTTTAACATATTTTTTATAGTGGAGATATTGTTCCAGCCAGGTCAAACATTGTAGCAATTCATCGTACTGGTTTGACATGAAACCGACACCGATTTTTGAATGTCTTGGTTTTGTTGAATAACAGTTTAGACGGATAAACCGAGAGCAAAGATTTTGTATAGGTTGGAGTGTTTTAAAACATTTCCTTAATTTATTCATGCATTTTTGAATATATCGACTTTGTTTACGTTATCCCCGTGTATAGAAAATTTCATACATTTCATTTTTGGTCTCCATGTTATATTTGCATTTGTAACGTATTCCTCATTATCAATAAAGGCTGTATTAAGCGAAACAATAACGGTATATCAATATTTATATATTTGAACTACAGTTTAAAATTTTTGCTACTCTTTGAAATCTATGACAAGCTAGTGATTACAAGTGTTAAATTGTTTGGATGATTGTGGGCAGATTTAAATGGTTAGATTTCTTCGAATATGATGAAATAGAAGTCCATTTTATCGTAGCATAAGGCATGCGATATAGTTAATTTTATAACATCGGCATAATATAAGAACGACATCGGGACTGCCTTTTATTTTTTACACAAGCACTCTTATCATCTTCTTTACCCACTTCATATGTCATATTATAAGCAAGCATTACATTCATCACAAGAAACCTGTTTTCCAAAACATTAAAGAAGTTACATACGAATCTCATAAGCAAATAAATATTTCATGAGAGAAACGTGTCTCCCGAAACCTTAAAACTTACCGGTTTTTATAGAAGCTTCCTGCAGTACACCATCGAGCTTAGACTGAGATCTACCGGCGATTCCCCAAGTGAGCCCCGGCCTCCTCTTATCAATTCTTACACATTCAATTAGGGTGTTCTTGCCAGTAAAGCCAGTTGCTCCAAATATCACCAAGTCTAGTCGGGACATCTAGAATAGATTAATACAAAATTTACAAAAGCGTGTTTACAAATCGTGTTATCCGAATCGAATAAAACACCAGCAATATAAGAATATTTTCATTTGTTAATATTAATACTAAGCCCCATTGTCGGTATACTTGCCTAAACACTTGCTTTGCAAATATTATATAAATAACTAGCTGATACTCGCTCACTTCGCTGATATAGCGCAAGATATTTTATTGCGAAACCTAGATGTAAAATATCAAGTTTTTTTTGATGGGACTATCGTAAAATCCGTTTTTAGTGAGCGTCTACATTGCGAAATTAGTAACTATACTAAATAAATCAATCGGGTATATAGTTTTAAGCTACTCTATGCCTCGCACATTTGTACATACGAGTCGTACGCGCCGTATGCAATTATTTTGTATTGCCAGCTACTTTTACAGCTTTTTTCCAACCAATGATGTGAAACGTACCGTTTCACAGTGACATTGATTGCTCGGATCGCCATAGCAAAAAATGTTGTAATAGCCTGCTTATTGGCAGAGGAAGAATAAAATAAAATTCGAAGAAAAGAAGATTCTGGTAATATTAATTTAAAAAGGCATTTATTGGAGAATATAATACTTACTAAAGACTTATTAGATGATGATGAAGAGCATAATATAAAACATTTCAAGAATTGCTACACATACTAAAACCATATTTGTCTATGGAAAACTCAAGATTTAGAAGGTCAATTGAACTGGAGAAAAGACTTATTATATGTTTGAGGTGAGTATATTAATGACAATTAAGTAATTAGGGTTTTTGAATTAAAATAAACTATCAATTTTTATAGTATTTAAATTATTTTGTCGCTAAGTATTTATATTGACAATCGATGCAATTTATTTATCAAATTATGTGTTATATAATTACCTATAATTACCTACTAAGTAAAAGTTATAAAAGTCTTGTGTGGCAACTCATTGTTGCCTACGCAGTAAAGGAAAATGCTCCGGAAATATAAAAATATATTTCGAAACAAAATCGAAACCACCAGTTTTAGTGGAAAATCTTCTAAGTTGGCAACATTAGACAATACTGAGTATCAGCACGTGCTGATATCATCGCTCATATTTAATAACAAAATGAACAATTTAAAAAAAAAACGTTTTAGATATACTTCGTAAATAAGGAATTCAAGGTTAAGAATTTATATGTAAATGTACAATGTTTTTAGAAAGATTTAATATTCCTAAATTTTCCACAACATATTTCGCTATACGTGTATAGTTGTATAGGTAGGTTACAAGTGTTTGCGCTGTAAAATTGTTATTGTTACCTGATATCATGTTGTGTGCACATGTTTTGAAATACCATCCAGTTCGTAAAGCACTTATTATGTTTATGACGGAGTTTTTAGACTTCGTAATGCAACCCAGAGCTTAGTATGTAATTACACACGGATATTTACTTGATATTCAATATTTATTAATTCGTACGTTTTTTCATAGGATAACAGTAACAAACGAGCACACAGTCCACCTGATGGTAAGTGGTTGCTATGGCCCATAGACATCTACATCTATCCTCGATTAAGAATCCAAACGCCATTTGCATCGTCGCCACCCATGAGCACTAAGTTGGAATGCCTCCTATCCAATAAAAAGCCTCCGGTTCTCAACACTCACCATAAAAACACAGCAGCAATGAGCTGCTATTTTACCCCGGTCGAGCAGACTCATTCGTGCTACATACATGCATCTGCATTTTGATTCTTAATCGATGATAAATGTAGATGTACTTATATGGGTTATGGGCCACAGTATCCACTTACTATCAGATGGACTGTGCTCGTTTGTCACCCTTATTCTATTTAAAAAAAAAAAACAGATTCAGGCGTTACCCTGCGGAAAATTCATTATAGGCCAGGACTCCCCACCTACCGCTGCAGCCGAGGTGGAGTCGCGGAGGAAGAGGAGTGTTGGTATGGCGATACGCCACTCGCCCTATCCTCCGCGACTCAAACGGGGCCGCACCGTTGATGCGGTGGTGGTGGGGCTGCGGGGGGAGAGGATTGTCGGTATTGCGAGGCGCCGCTCTCCCTACCCTCCGCAGCCGAATCTTGGTTGGCGGCGGAGCCATAGACCAGATCCGCCGCTGGGGTCGGGAAGGCTAGTACTTCTAAGTTCTCGTTTTTCCTGGCCCCATGGCCTTTGTGCATGGGACGCGGGGGCGTCTGTTGCACAGACGTAATTGGAGGCCGTGGAGGAAGGCGCGCCATGTGTTCTGGTGCGCCTTACCTAGAAGGAGAACGGGGAGGAATTTTCCTCTCCCGAGGAGGTGCTGCCATGGGGCGGCAGGCGCTAGTAGGGCCGCGGATGTGTGCGAAAGCGTTCCCGTAGGCCTGCCAATATGCGACAAAGGTGGAACACCATGAGGTTTTAGTCGGTGCGAGTCCGACATAACCCGTCCTTGCCCCCGCGAGGCGGGTATGCGTAGGCATTTCCCCATGTAACAAAAAAAAAAGGCCAAGTATATAATCAAAGTTATAGGCATTAAAGAAAGTAAACATTATTTTGCGTACATCTGTATAATCAATATGATTTAAGTTGAGTGGATCGCGATTTTTTGTCCAATATTTTATCCGAAAACACGAATATTTAAAAAAAAAGGAAATAGAGAAAATAAATGGATTTCGATTTCTTTCACAGCGGCCAGTATCAACAAAGAGTAGCCTCTGTACAGGATAGGATTATAATTAACGAGTGTGTACACAAGCACAGGTGATGTCGCGGATGGAGGCTGCGGAGAAGGAAAGAGAATGGACGGTAGATACACCGATCTGCAGCCGGAGTGGAGCGGCGGAGGCGAGCATATCAGGCTCTCTTACACCCACCACAGCCTTAAGTGGCGGATACGGGGACTGTCCGCCGTCTTTTTAGGCCTCGAGGCGCTACCTCGTCGTACAGTACGTTTCCCGTGCGCCGTAGCCGTGCGAAGAAGTGGACAACTCCAGCTCCACTCCGTCATCGAGACGGACGTTGTAAGAGCTATCGCTGTCGAGGCTACGGTAGTGTGCGAAAGCGAAAAACCAAGGGCGAAGAGTGTAACACCGTGGGGTTTTAGTCGGTAGGAGTCCGGCATAACCTGTTTGTTGCCTTCACGACAGGTATCCATAAGGATTTCCCCACATATAAAAAATAAGGTGTACTCTATAGGTGTACCCTCACTCTTGTAGTCCAATGGGACGGCAATCCAAACCGATCTGGGAGTATAGTACCAACGGTTATACGTGCTTTCCGAGGCACGGAAATGAAACACCGCCAACTTCTTGACCCCGGGCTGGGGCTGCTACTGACATTTTTGTGCTGGAGCATAATCACATTAGATCAAGGAAGCAGTCAAAAAAATTAAGAAAAAAACTATTAGGGAGTGAATTACATGCATTCCTCACTTGAATTTATTTGTTAGCTAAATTTTGTAACGGATTGGGTTCATATTCAGAATCCTATCAATAAGTAGGTACAACCCGTCATTAAGGGTGCACCTGTCTCATAACGCGTGCAAAATTAGTCTGTCTGCGTCTGGTCTGTTCCAATGAGATTGGTAGACATATCGGGTTGAACTATAAATTAAAGACTAGACGCGAAAACAATCGCACTAATTTATATATGTATGTAGTGAATATCTACAGAAAATATTTTTTTAACTTTTCATAGTAAATAATATGTAATCTGTGATTCATAATAGAATAGGTACCGCATCATATTGTTACAATGACCTTATTGAAGCTGCTTTATGTTCAACTAGTGGTAACGTACTCGTAATATTTTTAAGAATTAATTATATCTTCTAAAAAAATATTCTTACCTTATTATAATGACTGGTATCCAAAAGAACGTTTTCAGAAATGTACAAAATATTTTAAAACAACAATTTAATTATACACAAACACAAATAAATCAAATATGGCTGACAAAAACTAAACAGACTACGTTGCTGTTGAGTTAGCACTACCAAATGGATTTGTTGAAACTTCCAAACTGCGCAAATAGCACGTAATCACTGTATAGAGACACAGAATTCCTCGTTAAATAGTTGACCAAGCGCGAGTTAGTTCACGCGTAATGTAGGGTTCCGCTTCCACTGTGTCTAGCGAGCACACAGTCTAACAGATGGTAAGTGTATGCTGTGGCCCATCCGCCCATAGACATCTACATCTATCCTCGATTGAGAATCAAAATAAAGACTCGTCACCCCTGATGAATGAGATGGAATGCCTCCTTTCCGGTAAGTTTTAGACGTGGTAGAGCCACGCTGCAGCTATATTAGTAGGATAGTTGTAGCTCGAATGGGTCAGCCCGACCGGGGAAGGACAACGCTCTCATAGAATACCAGCGTAAAATAGCAGCTTAACGCTGCTGTGCTTCGTATGGCGAGTGTAGAGAACCGGAGACCCTTTTTAATGGAAAGGAGGCATTCCATATTAGTCCTCACAGATGACAACGCATCTGGATTTCGATTTGTGATCGAGGATTGATATAGATGTCTAAAGGCCGCAGCAACTTCTTACCATCAGGTGGACTGTGTGCTCGTTTGTCACCCTTATTCTATAAAAAAATGGGTCTCCGCATCTCTACAGTCACCATATGAATCACAGCAGCGTTAAGCTACTATTTTACGCTGGTATTCTGTGAGAGCGTGGTCCTTCCCCGGTCGCACCGACCTATTCGTCCTGCAACCATAAGCTGTGTAGCGTTGCCAGGTGTCCGGATAAAGCCGGACACAGTCAGGCTTTTTGGTTGCGTGTCCGGGCAAATTAGACGGTGTCCGGCCTATCCGGACTTGGTTAGGCTTTTTAAATTAGACCATTTCTTTACATTTTTCATTTACTATTAATATTGTAGTAATATTTATTCAATTGTTTTTCTTTCATTAAAATTAAAGACGATATTATGGTAAATTTTTGAATTTTTTACTTAAAATTTTTGTTTTACTAAGACTAAAAAATTAAGGGTGTCCCTTTTTACCAAAATATCCAACTAAGGTCGCTGGTCTGTCCGGCTTTTCAGTTTTAAGACCTGGCAACCCTATGTGCAGCTGCAGCATGGCTGTACCACTCGTATACTAATCTCTGCTAATCGTCTTATAATGTATAAAGGTGCCTAATATGAGATAGGTTCCTAAAATGAGATTAGATTCGATGATTAGTTCATTATTAGACAGTTCATTTATTTGTCGTGAGCTACAGTGGTATCGTTTGGTCAGACGTTCAGTCGTGTTCAAACGTGCACCATTACCAACCACGCTACTTACCAAACATGCTACACCAAACTACCATGCTACCTCGACGTTCGTCGGGACCGGATACGAATTTTTTTCGTTCTCAATTGCCAAGGTATGTTAAATCATTAAGACTTACATTTAGATTAAATATACATTTGTGATATCTGTTAAAGAATGAATTTTAATATGTATTCCGATTCGTTTTACTATGTTGATTACATATAACAATTTGCATATGTTGGGTTTATAGTGAGTTCCTTATATGAGGTACCGGTGGGCTCCCTAGATAACTGGTTAAACGATAGTCTGGGGCATGTTTTGACTAATAAAACATAATATTTTCCAAACAGCGTGCATCTGTGTGCATGCAAAAGCAAAAGTATGATTTTTTGAAAAGCGTACGTAAAATCAGCAACCAAGACAAACTCTGTTAATGGTTTCAAAAAACAGCTGTTTTTTTATAGCATTGGATGGCATAATATAAATAAACGCTGATTGTTACACTAACATGTAATTAAAGATAATAAAAGTATATCAAGTATTTATTTTATTTTTCATTTAAGTGAGCTCAAAAGTGGAGATACCTAAAAAAAAGACATATTTCAAAGTAGAGACCGTAAGTAATGTTGGGATACTTTCATGCTTGCATAGTATCTCATATTTGGCACCTTTACCCTAATATCTATATTTTCTAAAGTTCAAATTTACACGCCTATAACAAAATATATTCATAGCTATTTTTCTTAATCTTCCTTTTTTAATTATATTTTGGAAAGGGTAAAGGCTGTAATTACGCCGTGTAGTGGCGGTTGAGAATATCCACTACCCCATATCTTCCCGTGGGTGTCGTAAGAGGCGACAGAGGGAGACAGGCAGGAGATGGGCAGCAGAATCTTCCTGATAACAAAAATAATATAAAAATGCGGTTGCCAACCCACTCGCTAAGCGTGGCAACTATGACAAACATCCCCCCCCCCCCATGAGCAATGACGCCAATAAATGGCCCCCAGTCCCCGGCAGCCCCGCTATTCCTGGCTACGGTGGCGACCATGGTAACGACTAGGCAGGGGGTGCTAAGAATTTCCGGTGGAGGTTCGGTTGCCACCTACAGCGACTCGACCTGGCAACATATAACGCACGTACCCTGAGGACTGACGAGAAAGATACTAGAGCTGGAAGAAGAGGTAGACAAGTTACGCCGGCGTATTATTGGATTATCCGAGGTCCGAAGAGAGGGGGAGGACACGGAAATCCTCGAGTCCGGCAACTTGTTCTATCACCGGGAGGGCGACCATCTGTCCCAAGGATGTGTCGGATTTATCAGTGTGTCGACGAGGGTCGCGTACCTGATACTCAGTACCTCAAACAGGTCATACAGGTTTACACACCAACATCGGCGCATCCCGTAGAGGAGGTGGAGGAAATGTATGAGGATATTTCTAGAGCCATGCATTCCTCCAAAACCCACTATACGGTGTTGATGGGAGACTTCAACGCAAAACTAGGCACAAGAGAAAGCGGTGAGCTGAAGTAAGGGAAATTTGGAGTAGGGCAACGGAACCCTAGGTGCCAGCAGCTGACCGACTTTATGGAGAAAGAGGGACTCTTTATGATGAACTCTTTCTTCCAGAAGCGGCCCCACAGGAAGTGGACCTGGTCCAGCCTCGACGGTTCGACAAAAAATGAGACTGACTCGTTTCGTATGTCTCAGTGATCGCAAGGGTGTGAAAACTGGCAGCGATCACCGAATAGTTAGAGGCACACTGAACTTAAACGTTAAGTTGGAGAGGTCTCGTCTAGTGAAGTCAACGCTCCGTCCCCCTTGTGCGCTAATCCAAGGTCCCGAAAACTTTCAGCTCGAAGTACTAAACCGTTTTCAGTGCCTAGAAGACTGCAATACAGTGGACGATATGAATGACAAGCTCGTGGAAACTGTCCATGCGGTCGGAGCTAAGTTCTGCAAGACTCGCCGCAGAACACAAAAACTCCGATCACACTCTTAATCTCATGGATGTTAGACGGGCGATGAAACTGCAGTCGTCAGGAGATTTGACAGCATACAGGCAACTGAACAGACAGATTTCCAAATGCATGCGGCAGGACTTACGCAACTTCAATACAGCATGTATTGAAGAAGCGATTGAGCGGAACCAGGGCTCCAAAGTCTTTGCCAGAGATCTGTCTGCCAGTAAGAGCCAACTGTCAAGGCTAAAGACTGAGTGTGGCAGCATCGTTTCCGGGACTCCTGAGATTCTTAGTGAGATTGAGAGGTTCTATGGGCAGCTGTACACATCATCGTTGGAGCCACACGCAAGTGTGAGTAACGATCCAAGAGCAAGTCTTATCCGACACTATTCCGATGATATCCCGGACATCAGTCTAAGCGAGATTAGAATGGCTCTCCGGCACCTTAAAAATGGCAAGTCCCCGGGCGAGGATGAAATTACAGCAGAGCTTCTGAAAGCGGGTGGAAAACCGGTACTTAAGGTCCTTCAGAACCTCTTTAATTCCCTTCTCCATCTAGGCTATACTCCCGAGGCGTGGAGCAGAAGTGCGGTGGTCTTGTTCTTCAAGAAAGGTTATAACGCTCTCTTGAAGAACTACAGACCGATATCCCTTCTGAGCCGAGTCTACGTGCTGTTTTCGAGTCATTACGAATCGTCTCGCACGCATACTCGACGACTTCCAGCCTCCTGAACAAGCCGGTTTCCGAAAAGGCTTCAGTACCATAGACCACATACATACCCTTCGGCAAATTGTATAATGTATATAATATTATAAATATTATTAAAAAAAGTTTTCAGCAATATCTCGGAAACAATGACTTTAAAGCAAAAGTTATACAAACCATTATTGTATAAAATAAAATTTCGCATCTTTTGTTTCCAGTAAACTTTTTTGTAAAACTTACCGTTTACGATTTATGGCCCATTTAATGAATCGGTTTTTCTATCGCGGCCAGTAACTCTTGAAATATTAGATTAATCAATAAAATGCATAAGTTTATTTTGAAAGATCAGTTTATCTTCCAAAACTTTTGTTTGAAACTTTTTTTCTAATGTCTATACTTTTTTAGTTATAGGACGTTTCATGTTTGACTACCGGGTGTTATAATTGAAAATTTCAAGATACGCATAGCTGCCGCGTCACCCGCCGAGCTCGGCGACGCTTTACGATTACGAACCCGGATTTTATTGCTATTATTTCGGGGAATTCCAAGTAAGACGTCATTATTGTTTACTAACTACGACTTACGGAGTCTCCTTTTTGAAATTCGACTTATAGAGTATAATATCTATTATCAATATTTCGTAGGGAAATAACATTTTGTTCGAGTTACAAAGTCCAATAATTCGAGATACCGCGTATTAGCGCGTTTACCGGGTTCAGCGGCAAGGAATGGCAAATTTTTTCGACTTACTGAGGATGTTGACTTAACGGGGTTTGAGTTATAGAGATTCCACTGAATATCATTAACACGCATATAATTTTTTAAGTACAGCGTGTCTTTCAGCAACTTAATATTACCAAGTTTTTAAGTTTATATGTGAACTATATAATAATATAATTCTTTTCATATAATTATTTTTAAATGTTATTTATAACAATATAATTCTTTATGAATTATATTCTTATAAATAACATTTAAAAAAGAATCGTCCTGAGCACTCTTATCTATGGTTTCGAGTAAACTTAGTGATCATATGCTCTTTGGTTCAAGTCGTCCCTCTAAATATTAGTATACTCTTAGGCGTGGTCTACAAGGTGACATTTAGAGGATCCAATTGGATACTTCGAGCTTTTAAAGGTTAAAAGTACACGAAAGTAATGAACCATCAACACAAGGTTAATTATTGAGATTATCCGCTTAGTCAACCCGTAAGTCGTTATTAGTTAGTTTATTCTTTAAATCGTTATATTAGGACGTTAGAACGTATGTAACAGTAATAGGAGCTTTGAGGACACTTTTACAGTTAAAATATTTTTAGAAGGTTCTTTTTTCAAATAATAAGGAGATACTGGATATTTAAGAAACGTTTAAAATAATATGATGGATTTTTGAATATGGATATCACTACGCTCTATATTAAGACAGCATTGTATACTTATTTTTAAGTAGAGACACACCGCGGCGCGAACGTGAAGGACCATGTTCGCACTAAATACCAACGTGACTTCACTCTACGAAAACAGCATCATGTGAAGGGTAACTGAGACTTTTTTTTTGATGGTCATGAGGCATTCTATGTTAGTTCTAAGGGATAACCACGCACCTGCATTTGAATTCTTAATAGATGATAAATGTAGTCCATGGGCCATAGTATTCCTTTCAGTCAGATGAACTGTGTGCTGGTTTATCACGCTCACTTCTATAAAAATTAAGTAAAGCTAATCTATATATATATATATATATATATATATATATATATATATATATATATATATATATATATATATATATATAAAATCTTCAAATCAAAGATTTAAATAGTTAGATGCGCCTTTACCATAGTATGACCACTCCGAAATGTGTCCATTCTCAAATGAGTGAGCTCACTCATTCGCAATCAGTGCTCATTTGTGCGACAGAGAAAGTAGTATATTTAATTTCTGTAAGATAATAAGAGATGATACTATTGCATTAGTGTGCGCGCGTCAGCGTCTTGCAAACAAAATCATTTGTTAAAGGTTTTGTAGAACATCGTCACTGCCTATTCACATTCCTACAACGTTATGTCGTTGACTACTCTCTAAAAAATACAGATAAAGCTGACAGTTTCTATTTGGGCTCGATGTGTAATGTCTACGACCAGGTATTATGCAAATCATAAAATACAAAAATCGTTTTTTATTATAATTAATAAGGCACAATCGAATTAGAAAAAAAGGCACTACAGCGAAAATGATTACATATTTTATGGTTATAATTTCATAAGCAAGTGATACGGCTTACATGGGCCATAAAGTGAAAAATATACCGTATTTACTCTACTACATAGTAAAAGAAATTACGATAACACTAAAATATATAATAACAATAATATAACTATAACTTTTAAATTTATATAAATGTTTCAATAATGACTTCTTATATTTACGTGAATTCTACATTTAGTTTTAATATAATTTTATAAAATTGATGAATCAAACTAATTAATAAATGTTTCAAGTTGTATAAACAAATAAGCTTTAAAAAATTTTTATAAAAAAAAAGGAAATTTCTTCAAGCCTATAGCTACACTCCTTAAAATTAATTTTAACAATTATAATCAACAATTAATAAAGCTATAGGAACTTTATATTTTATTTTGGTTATTCAGGCAGGAATAGTGATACTATTCCTGCCTGCTTCTTTAAAGCTAACCCAAACTGAAATCAAAATGTAACCTTAAATACAATGACACAAAAATGTAATTAATTTTTATCGATTACTTCTCAATAATTTCAAATTTGAGGTTGTTTTCGTGCAGCCTCTTTATCAGTTCTGTATTCCTGAACGCGTACCCAGTTGTCATTACACCGCCCCTGAAAATAATTCATTTTGAGAAACTTATTTAATACTAAACTACCAAATCATTACACACTACGCGAATACGTTAAGAATAAAAATCATCATCATTACACTCTCTGCACAAGTCCACTGCTGAACAAGGGGTGTTCCAAGCAATGCCTCAAAGTAAGGTCCTGAGTAGACACGTGTCAATCATTCATTTCCAGTGACCGAATCATTCTAGTACATTTCGTCACGCGTACTGGTACATTCGGATCGATCATTCAAATGGATCATTTGGGATTGATCTTAGTAATTCTGTGAAATCCATTGGGAACCGAAAATTTTATATTTGAAATTTGTAATAGCGCCATCTACTACATGCTATAGGTAATAAAGTCATTTTATCGAACTAAAACTTATTGACTAGCAAGGTGGTAAGTACAATCGACGCTAGATGGCATAAACACAAAAACCTCAAGTGATTCCAATTGATTCGATTACATTAGATTAGATTTTGATTGATAACTTTATTCAATATTATTAAATATTTTAAATATTTATTAAATTTGTTTATTCTTAAATTTCATTCCTAACAATACACAATTTCATCTTACGTTACATGTCTAAAAATAAGGATTGTGACATTTATTTGCTACAAAATTAAAATTTTATCTTATACTTGTATAAGTTGAAAATTATCATATTAAATAAATCATGTGCCATGAAATCTTTTGAAGTGTTATTTTTAGTAAACTCTACGAAATGATCACCGAATCCTATTTTCCTACCCAATCCTATTATTTTAACCAATCCTAATTTCACCCATTCCTGTTTTCCTACCCAATCCTATTATTTTACCTAACCCTTATATTCCACCCAATCCTAATATTCTACACAATCCTAATATCATCCAATCCAACTATCCTACCCAATCTTATTATTCAAACCTTGATGTTGAGTCTTCGAGAAACTTCCAGTCACAGAAACTGACTCCTATTCTAAAACCAAAATTTTCTCTAACTAAATCCAAACTTTTCTTTTCCTCCAAACTTTTCTAGTTGGCCTGTAATCAAGCTTGTGTATCGTTTAGTGCTTCGAAAGCCAAATTTAAATCAACTTTGCAAATTATCCCAAGCACAGAAATATAAATAATAAGGCAATAGAAGTTGTAAATTCGCATGACCTTGTCGCCGCACATGTGACTCGTAGGCCACAAGTGCGCGAGGAGCGTTTGTTTCGGTCACCAGTGTTTTTCGGACGCTGAGACGTAAAAATGGTGTTTTGAAGCATATCCAAGTGCGGAAATTCTTCCACAACTTGCCAATTTTCAAATAAAGGGATAACATTTCATAAATAAGTACTTAGAGTTTTAAATAATGTTGTTTTTAATGAAATATACTTAAATAAAATTATTCACCTCCAGTTACCAGTCCAGTACTACGATTGTCTCAGAAAATGTAACTGTTTTCACATTTCAACATCCATTGATTCTTAAGTTAGTTCATGTCTAAGAGTACGACAGCCAAAAGCAGCGATGGATATGTGGATATATGGGCAATAAAAATATTGTGCGTACGTAAATTACCAAGAACACGGACGCAGGGCTCGAGCGCCAGTCAGTGGCTTGACATTACGATATTATATCGATAATTTATTTTGTTTAGCTTACCTAGTTTGACCGAAATGGGAATGAAATGTGATTTTTCGTTAAATATTTATTTACACCTTCCCTATTTCTTTTTATTTCCAAATATTTTATACTTACCTTTAACCGTTTATCAGCGATTATCTGTTTGTTTGTACTTTTAGATTGCTTGATAAATGAGGATAATAGACTGAATTCAATCTGTAAGAAGCCGTAACTGAAAAATAACACACAACAGAAAGTCAGTTACAGATCTTTAAAACTAATAAAAAATGGTACTTAGGCTAAGCCTCCTCAGATTTTACTTTTTTATAAAATATTCCTTAAGGACGCGTTTGCAAATCAACCAAAATTAGGGTGTTTTTCGGTAGATTTTGTGACAAAACTAAACCAAATCAAATATAAGTAAAAACTACCATGTATAGATTGGTTCTTCATCTGCAAAAGTCTGTAACTCTTTTGTGGAAAATAGTAGTTTTTTATATTGTAAAAACGAACTTTCGTTGCCATTTTCTACAAAATTAACGATACCGGCTTGTGTTTCGGTACATGTTTTGGTCTATTATCAACATATTTAAAAAAATTAAAAAATACTGTAAGATGACAGACATATTCAATTAAAAAACCCTGTATTTATTTTTTATCAAAATGTCACAAATAGTCGTAGAAAAAATAAAAACTGACGCACATTTTTTCACATATTTTGCTAATACGGATAAATCATAATGTATTGCAATAAGGGCTATTTTATTTTTGGTGCCTGCTTTGATTTATTGTACAAAGATTTCGATGAAACCACAGTCCGCGCTCGGCCGCCGTCGTGAGTGGATACTGTATCGCCTGTTTGCAGCGGCTCATTCTGAAAAGATCGCTGTACATACACAAAATATTAGAAAAAAACAAATTGGAAACATAAGTACTTGACAAGTGATAAAATTATTATTTTTATACTCACAGTTTTTATTTAGCTAAAAATAAGTAGGATATATAAACTTACCTACTACTGCAACTCCTGGACGAGCGGAACTAGGTGTGCCGAGTTTGGGCTCGTTTTGTTGGTTATGATGAGACCTTACCTCCGGACTTGATGGCGTGACTTGAAGGTGTACTTTCGTGACCGCTATTTGAACTTCTTGCAGAGTAAAACTAGGGGTGGCGAATTTGGGCTCCGTTTTGTTAGTTATGACGAGTCCATACCTCCGGACTTGATGGAGTGACCTGAAGGTGTAAATCGGTGATTGCAACTGGAACTCCTAGACTGGTAGAACTAGGTGTGCCGAGTTTGGGTTCGTTTTGTTGGTTATGATGAGACCTTACCACCGGACTTGATGGAGTGACCTGAAGGTGTAGTTCGGTGATTACAAGTGGAACTCCTAGACTTGTAGGACTAGGTGTGCCGAGTTTGGGTTCGTTTTGTTAGTTATGATGAGACCTTACCACCAGACTTGATGGAGTGACCTGAAGGGGTAATTCAGTAACTACTGCTGGAATTTCTGAACGAGTAGAACTAGGTGTGCCGAATTTGGGCTTCGTTTTGTTAGTTATGACGAGTTCATACCTTCGGACTTGATGTAGTGACCTGAAGGTGTAAATCGGTGATTGCAACTGGAACTCCTAGACTGGTAGAACTAGGTGTGCCGAGTTTGGGTTCGTTTTGTAGGTTATGATGAGACCTTACCACCGGACTTGATGGAGTGACCTGAAGGTATAGTTCAGTGATTACAATTGGAACTCCTAGACTTGTAGAACTAGGTGTGCCGAGTTTGGGTTCGTTTTGTTAGTTACGATGAGACCTTACCACCGGACTTGATTGAGTGAAATTCTGCACACCTAGTTCTACCGGTTCAGAAATTCCAGCAGTAGTTACTGAATTACCCCTTCAGGTCACTCCATCAAGTCTGGTGGTAAGGTCTCATCATAACTAACAAAACGAACCCAAACTCTGCACACTTAGTTCTACAAGTCTAGGAGTTCCACTTGTAATCACCGAACTACACCTTCAGGTCACTCCATCAAGTCCGGTGGTAAGGTCTCATCATAACCTACAAAACGAACCCAAACTCGGCACACCTAGTTGTACCAGTCTAGGAGTTCCAGTTGCAATCACCGATTTACACCTTCAGGTCACTCCATCAAGTCCGGAGGTATGGACTCGTCATAACTAACAAAACGAAGCCCAAATTCGGCGCACCTAGTTCTACTCGTTCAGAAATTCCAGCAGTAGTTACTGATTTACCCCTTCAGGTCACTCCATCAAGTCTGGTGGTAAGGTCTCATCATAACTAACAAAACGAACCCAAACTCGGCACACCTAGTCCTACAAGTCTAGGAGTTCCACTTGTAATCACCGAACTACACCTTCAGGTCACTCCATCAAGTCCGGTGGTAAGGTCTCATCATAACCTACAAAACGAACCCAAACTCGGCACACCTAGTTCTACCAGTCTAAGAGTTCCAGTTGCAATCACCGATTTACACCTTCAGGTCACTCCATCAAGTCCGGAGGTATGGACTCGTCATAACTAACAAAACGAAGCCCAAATTCGGCACACCTAGTTCAACTCGTTCAGAAATTCCAGAAGTAGTTACTGAATTACCCCTTCAGGTCACTCCATCAAGTCTGGTGGTAAGGTCTCATCATAACTAACAAAACGAACCCATACTCGGCACACCTAGTTCTACTAGTCTAGGAGTTCCACTTGTAATCACCGAATTACACCTTCAGGTCACTCCATCAAGTCCGCAGGTAAGGTCACATCATAACCAACAAAACGAACCCAAACTCGGCACACCTAGTTCCAATAGTCTAGGAGTTCCTGTTGTAATCACCAAATTACACCTTCAGGTCACTCCATCAAGTCCGCAGGTAGGTAAGGTCTTATTATAACTGACAAAACCAGTTCAAAGTCCAGAGCTAACATCTCACTACCAGTAGAGGGCTTCCAGTGCCAAGCAGTCTCTGGAGCAGGTATTCGTATTTCGTATCGAAGTATATTTCTGAGGTAGGTATAAGAAATGAAAAACAAATTCAATCTTTCAAATTATCAAAATAATTTCATTTGACTACGATTCCCACAGCCAACCGTGCGTACACTAGTGTGTGTGTGACTTTTGTCAATGTAGTAGTGCGATTCTATACCTATCAATTTTGTAAACGCGTCCTTAACGCAATATAGTGCATGAATGCTAGAGATACGTGTGGACGTAATTGTGTATTTATTGTGTGTCTATGTGTGATAGCTGCGAACCGGCGACACGTGTCCCGATATTAAAAAACAGTATAAGGCATTTCTAGTGCCTTATTATTTAGATTTCTGTGCTCTCAAGCGTCCCCCACTCCATGCAGATCATAAGAAGGTTATACAGAGGAAATAACTTACGGCTTAGGCATTTTATCTTTCTCGTCGAGTATAGTGAGTGCGGAATACAATAGGGCCACTACCGTCGCGCCGTAGCCCGGGTTCGTTCCTGTCACCTGAGACAACAATTCAAATACTTTATAACAAATCATCATTAAATAAACCATTGCAACCTCAAACATAGAACCTAGTTTTTAAATTACTGAGGACAACTTTGATAGAACTGGAGCTGATAATTGATATATTTATTATTTACTTAACATTATACAGTGGACCCATAGTAATCCAACCCCTGGCTTATCCGTGCCCCTTGTAATCAGACATGTTTATAAAACGTGCTCAAACAATAGACTCCTTTAAAAACCAAGTTAAAAAACATTATCTTTCCTTCTAAATCATCCCTCCTCCTTTTATCCACTCCTGTCGTTTTATGATCACTAGTGAGTCAATTAAGTAAATTCCGGCATGTTTATTAAATTTATTTTATATTTATAGATTACAATATTATTTATAGTGCACTCTACCCATTACTTAATTTTTCACTTATTTTTATTTCCTATTTAGGTTGTCTGGAAGAAATAGCTGCATAGCAATGAGACCGCCTTTTGTTTTTCTCTTTGTTTCTTGTTATGTTGTATTTTTTAGTGTTCAATAAAGGGTATTGTATTGTATTGTATTGTATTGTTTTTAACTTGTGGGTCTCAGATTACCCCCATGTGGGTAGATTCGAGTCGCGCTATGAATCCACTACGGGAGGAGATTGCAATTAGTTCGCGCCACCACGAATCTATCTTGACGCTTAGTGTTTTAGTTCCAATGTGACTATGACAGATGTTTAGCGGGCATTCATTATTTATTTATTGTTTAAGTATTCATTGTGCATCACATGATACTTTTATTTTTTACTATTTTATATTTGATATGTAATATGTCGGATTACAAGGTACTTTTTCAAAATATTCTGGAATAGCAAGGGGCTGCGTCAGTACTTTACATTCCTCTAAATTCGATAATCCGACAGCGCCTATATAATATTGTTCAACATATTTTCTTTATTTCATTTTTTTGCTATTACTTTCACGTGTTTATATCACTAAATGGATTGTTTGTTACTGTTGATTTAATAATAATTAATTTTAATATGTTAATTTTTATAACACAAATATTTCAAAGAGAAAGAAACAAATTTCCATCTCTCCACTAAAGAATTATTATGTAATACATAGTATCTCATGTAACAATAAAAGGCAAATAACAAGAAATCAGTCCGATCCCTGCAGACAACACCGATATTGTTTATCATTGCACTGAGTCACCACGTGAGTTTGCTTGCTAAGGAGTAAGGCTATACTTTCTGTCTAGGAGTTCGTCTAGATAGAGGTATTTCGGTCTGAGAGGGAATATAGAGCCACTATAAATTGCAAACTGTGTAGACATCTTAGTCCTCAAAGGTGACAACGAACCTATAGCCTTCTGTGTTTGAAATTGGTTGCAGACGTACATGGACTGCAGCAGGCACTCACCATCAGGTGGACAGTGAGTTCGTTTGTTACTTCAGTTTTATAATTACCCTTAATCATCATTACAGCCCTTCACAAGTCTACTGCTGAACATAGGCCTCCCCCGAGGAACGTCACAAAGCACGGTGATGAGCCACAAGTATCCATCCACTTCCTGCACATTTTACTAGGTCGTTACTCCATCTAGTGGGGGCACTACACTTCGCCTACCCGTACGAGGCTGCCACTCGAAACCCTTAGTTCCCCATCGGTTGTTGGGTCTACCTACCGGGTAGGGTTGTCTGTCTGGTATTCCTCAAAACCTGAAAACTAGATTTTACAAGCAATGCATGTTGCAGTGATGACTTATGGATCTGAGACATGGTCTTACACTGCTGGCCGTATGAGGCCGCTCAAGATCGCTCAGCGAGCTATGAAGAGGGCTATGCTCGGGGTTTCTCTGCATGATAAACTCAGAAATGAGGTTATCTGCCGTAGAACCAGAGTGACCGTCATAGCCCAACGGATTAGTAAGCTGTAGTGGCAATGGGCCGGCCATATAACCGACAATTACTATTACAACCTATTAAATTCCACTGCTAAATATGGACCTCCCTCTTAGATTGCCTCATAGGTTGGATATTTATCATAGTTGCGCAAAGTGTTGGAAAGCGGGTTGTTAACTGCAATTTTTCATTTTAAGACGTGTTTTAATTCTTTATTAATGAGCTTATTCACAATATGAATATGTCGCTCCGTTAATTCATCACCAAAAAAAAAACAACTACATAAAGTATACTTAAACTTATTACATTATAAAATTCTCAAATCAATAATTAATTACAGAAAGTTGAAGAAGATATGCAATTAGTTACAAAAAGTATTAGTAGCAATTAGTTAAAAAAATGAAAAGTTCCCAGATCAATCACATTGAGAAGTGAGTGATCGATCCGAGAACTTCATCTTGTAAAGCTTGACTAATATTTTTATATCGTCGGAATGTGGCTTAGCTAAAATTATACTACAATCAGCGAAATCTTTTAAAATGTGGTGGCATTTCTCACGATTTAAGACATTATTAGACAGATGCTGCTGCCCATCTCCTGATTTATTTCTCTCATCATCTCTTACGACAATCCCCACGGGCGTTGATTGAACGAAAAATTATTGGCTATAAAAGTTGTAACGGTTAAAAGGTATGACGTCATATCTTTTTATTGCGATATCCTTCAACAATACCAACTAGATACGGTTCACGTACAAAATCATGGCTAAGTACTGTCCGCATGAATATAAACTATGAAAAGACATAAATTAAATAACATTTAGTGTGAAATCAACCTCAAATTGTTACAAAAGTTCTTTTTCCCGTTATTGCCTTGCGAGCTACACTCTCACGTGCAAGAGCTGACGTCTCATGTGCACTCTTATTTACTGAGACGGATTTCTTGCGCCGACCCGACATCTATTTGATATTGTTGATCGAAGGCGAAATCTTAAAATAACAATACATACATTTTTCGGTACCGAAAAACACTACACTCGTTTTTTCACTACCTAATTATCAACTTACAGGTTTTCACTTATCCTTGTGGTTCAAAATTTACCTTAGTTTTCAATTAGTTTCTTGGAATTGCTTAACTGTCACTGTCAAAACAACAAATAATTTTGGTTACACAACCAGATATTATTGTTTACCAATAAATTTCGGTCATTTAAAGGTATAATATAACAATGGCCCTAAAAATAGCGTTGTCGTTATTTTATAACGATGGCGTATCGATGAATTTTAACCGCTTTCGATCTACCTTCAAAAATTAGCGACAACAATTTTTTTACCGGTAACGTAACCTCATACCTTAACCGCAAACAAGCCCTACCCACGGGATAATATATTTTAGTTTTATAAAATAAATACTCACCTTAGCAACCATCTTCTTGTTGGGAGGCGTGTTCTCAACATCGGCACCCCTCTCCCAGCCAAGACCGCGCAACTCCATCTTGAAGTGCGTATTGTCCATCACTTCCTCCTTTATCTCGTCCTTGGTCACCATACCGAAGCTAAACAGTTTAGGGTAGTTAAGCAGCCACTTCCTGGTGAAACTGGTGCGGGTGAACAGGTAGAACATTACACCGGCGAACGCCACCAGCATGAGCATCAAGAAGCTGTGCATCTTCACGTACACACGGAATTGAACTGGTCGCTTTCCCTCGGTCGTGTACAACTGCCTTTGCGTGCGGTACACAACCGACGCATCACTGCCGGGAAATGGGACACACCAACTGCTGTCTTTCTTGTGCAAAGATCTGATAATTCAGAAAAAATACAATTATTTTTTAACAATCAATCTATAACAGTCTATAAAATCCAGTGGTGAACAACATAGGCCTCCCCCATAGCTTGCCTCATGGGGAGGATATATGATACATATTCGCGTCACGTATACATCAAAACTTAAAAACAAGAGTGTGAACCAGTGCATGTTGCCAGTGATGACTTATAGGTCCAGGACGTGATTCTTCACTGCTGCCCGTATGGGGAAGCTCGAGGTTGCTCAGCGAGCTATGGAGAAGGCTATGATCGGACTTTCACTACGTGATAGACTTTGTTATGAGGATATAAGCAGTACTCTCTGATCACTGACAATCGTTGGGAAAATCTCGAGTGGCAGCATCGTAACTATAGGCAAAGTGTAGGGTGGCCCTCTACTAGATGTGTGACGATCAGATAAGATATACAGGAAGTCGATGGACACAGGTGCCTAAGGACCGTGTTTTTTAGCATTCCACAGGGTGGAGTTATACTGGCTATGTTCGGCAGTAGACTTGTGATGGACTTTAAGGCTAAAGATGACTTACAACAAGTCATGTATGTATAAAATAAAAAGTAGCGGTACCACTGTATTACCTAGGAGAAAACATATTTAAACTTTGGAGTAAAAATGATAAGTTAATATAAAAATTACTATTGTAGAGTTTATATTACTTAAATTACTTCTTTTTGTAATTTTCCAATTTATTGATTATCTAACGCTTTGGGACTATCAGTAATAATAATAATAATAAATAATTTATTTTGGACAATTTGTACATCCATATGTGTTAGTAAAAAATGGCTTACAAATTATGTTAATATTTTATTAATTGGGATTAAAAAATTACACTTGTTACAATAAATTACCTACAATAACTAATTTAATTGTAACTAAGTGACCATCAGGGCAAAGGGTATGTTCCAGTGATCGTCGCTTTTCACACAAAGCATTTCCAGATCGGTGATGTAAATCGATCTGCTAATGGTCTTGTTTAATTCCAAATGGTAAAAAAATTGATAATTATAAAAAACGTGTAGTAGCGGTTTAAGAATATCCACTACCCCATATTATCCCGTGGGTGTTGTGAGACGCGGCAGAGGAAACCAGCCAGGAGATGCCCGCGGCGACTTCCTGATAACTTAAAAATGAAACCTGCTGTGACCGGCCCGCTTGCCGAGCGTGACAGCTAAATGAAATGATGATTTATTTGCTTTGAAAAAGGGTACATTCAGGTGGTTATTGTAAAGTGTAGTTCAGCTTTTTCAGCCATCTATGGATAGCATGCAAATACATTTTTTATAATTAAGTTTACTATATTAAAATATCGAATTCAATTAAAATATTCATCATAAAATAGTCATCGTTTACAAGTTACCAATACTAATAGCAATACATACAAATTTATAAATAATTAAAATTGAAAATGCAATTAATAATATAGAACTACTGTTGCGTCACATTATGTCAAGTTTAGGTAGTCATTCACATTACAAAAACAATATATATATATATATATATATATATATATATATATATATATATATATATATAGGTAGGGCTTAGGTGTGAGCCACTACCGGGGGTCCACAGGTAGCGAATAGGGGAACGGCCGTAAGATATTACGGTTAGCTGTTTCGGCAGTCCCCGACCCCACACCGGCAGGGTTAGAGGGTGTAGGGTAGAGGATCTACCCTTAGGAAAGGTTCTTCTATGCAAAAACTACAAAAACCCAATGAAGACTCTGTGACATGGCGAGCCAATGCCGCCAGTAAATAAGCATTATCCTCCTCCAATTGCGGGCAGCTGCGTAGTTGGTTGATGGAGTGACTGGGAGCTAGGTAAGCCTGTACAGTCACCAATCTCATTGTTGTTGTATGAGTCCCAGATTCAGACGGCAGCAATACAGCGATGTGGAAGGCCACGGAAAACCACCACATTATTATTCCCAGGACAAATCATTATGGCTGAGACAAATAAAACAATGGCCCTTAGTCCCCGGCAGGCCTTAAGTGGTCAAAGGGTGCGAAAAATCTCCGGGTCAGCCATAAAGATCCCAACTTGGAATGTCCGCAGTTTATATGAAGACGGTAAATTGGAAAATGTGATAAAGGAGATGTGCAGATTAGAACTTGATATCCTAGGAATAAGTGAATTAAGATGAAAAGGAAACGGAATTTTAACATCCGGTGATGCTACAGTTTATTACTCAGGTAGCGATGAACGTCAACATCACAGAAATGGTGTTGCCATAATTGTGAAACATGTTCTAGGATCAACTGTCAAAAATTTTCTTCCGGTATCGGAGCGGTTTATGTTGTTACAACTTGAAGCTAAGCCGTTTAACATCAACATAGTTCAAGTATATGCTCCTACAGCAGACAAAAGTGACGATTTGAATGAGGCATTTTATGATGATATTGAGACAGCACTCAAAGTAACCAAGAAACACGACATAACAGTCATCACGGGTGACTTTAATTCCAAAATTGGGCAAGGTCCAGTACCCTACGTCGTTGGCACCTTTGGGCTTGGTGTCCGAAACGATCGAGGAGAAAGGTTGGTGCAGTTCTGCCAGGAGCGCGAGTTCGTTGTTACTAATACATTCTTTAAGCTACCACCTAGAAGACTTTATACATGGCGTTCACCAACTGATAGTCCAGTGAAGATCGTACATAATCAAATAGATTTCTTGTTGATTAACAAAAGGCATATAAATTGCATTAAATCTGCTAAAACATATCCCGGAGCCGATATTGGATCTGATCACAACCCTATTGTGGCCGTTATTAAATTTCAGCTAAAGAAAATGCAACAGCCAACAAAAACTACAAGAGTGGACCTGAATAAATTAAAAAAAAAACCCTGAATCTGAAAACCAACTTCGCCTAGCCATTAATGACGAAATTTGTAGGCTACAGCACGAGAATGATAATCTTGTTTTCTCCAATACGGAGCAAGCATGGCATAATTTTAAAACATCAATTATGGATGCAAGTAATAAGATCTTAGTATCAACACCGCGATATAGGAAAACTGAGTGGATTACTGACGAAATCTTAAATTTGATGGATTTAAGACGTGAAAATAAATTAAAAAAAGAAAAGTATGATTCAATACAGCTTTCGATACGGAAGAAAATAAGACAGGCAGAAGAAAAGTGGTACGGTGATCTTTGTTCTGAGATTGAAGAATTGGATAAAAAGTTTGACTATTTTAATATGCATAAGAAGATTAAAGAGGTTATATCCCCTAAACATCAAGGACGCACACAACAAATATGCCTCTTGCACAATGTTGATAACTTGGGAGCAATATGTAACTGAACTCTTCTGTGACACTCGGTCTGATCCTGTTGATTTCATTTGCGAAGACACGGGACCTGCCATTACAAGGAGTGAGGTCTATTATGCCATCAGAAATGCAAAAACAAGGAAAGCTGTTGGTCCCGATGACATACCAGTCGAGGTAATTAAAGTGATTGAGGAGTATAATCTGGATTATCTTGTTAGCCTCTTCAACGCTATTTATAACTAACTTTAAGTATATGAGTCATGTTTTGAAGCTGTTCTTAAAGATAATCGTTTTTCGTTAAAACCTTTTCGAGAATGAAGAAAGTTCTTTGTGACCGGAACCTAAGTATTTGTCTTCGAACACGCATAGCGCGGTGCTATGTCTTTTCTGTACTTCTCTATAGTGTAGAAGCTTGGACGCTGACAGAAGCCATGTCTAAAAAACTGGAAGCGTTCGAGATGTGGGTGTACAGACGTGTGCTAAGAATTTCTTGGAGAGACCGCGTACGAAACACCACCGTGCTACAAAGAATGGGGAAGGTCACAGAGATACTTACAACCATAAAGAGGAGGAAATTGGAATATTTTCGGCACGTGATGCGTAACACCAAAAAATATGAACTCCTTCAACTTATCATTCAGGGGAAAGTGGCAGGCAGAAGGAGGCCTGGCCGCAGAAGGATATCGTGGCTGAAGAACTTGCGCCAGTGGTTCGGGAAGAGCACAAGATCACTGTTTAGAGCAGCGGTCTCAAAAGTTGAAATCGCCCTAATGATTGCCAACCTTCGCAAGGAGACGGCACCTTAAGAAGAGAATATATTATATATAATCCCCTATAAAGCAACATAATATGGAAAGACCTATATTCAGCAGAGGACTTTAATAGGCTGCAACAGTAAAGCTATTATTACATTATTACCGTAATAAAAACGACATTTGATTTGTTTTTATTCTTACCTTTTTGGCGGTACAGGTTGGAACGTGGGAATGCGCTCTGCAAACAATTGCTTTCTTAACGGCGACAGTTCATTCTTATACGTCACTCTGAAACGATCACCGTAGTCATTAGCGTAGACAGCCTTTAGTCCACTGCAGGACAGTGTTTCACACGTTAGGAAAATTTTCTGTTATTAACGAGTTTGTGGCAAGAGTACCCTTAAGTGACGAGCATGTATGCGTAGGTATATGGATGTAGAGGAGGCGAGAGAGGTGTGTCAGGATTAAAGTTGTTCAAAACGACTATAAATCAATAGCACGCTACAGACTATTAAATACCCTATGTTAGAGCTCGATATTTCTAAAAAAGTGTGTAGGAGGCCGGCAAGCGCGTTAAGTTTAGCAGCCCGCTATATCTCGGAGCACGCTACATTACATGTCGTTCATTGTATAGACCGCGTGCTATATAAGAACATTGTTTCGCAACAAGTCGCATTTTAGATTAAAATCGCTCTTTCATACTTTTCAGACTTACGACTTTTTATAATACTAAAAATATTTTTAAGGACTGTACTTTTTAAAACAATTTAAAACGTTTAAATCATTTTTTATTATAATTGATGTAAACGTTATTTTAACCTTAATATAAATTATAAATCAAAGGTGTATTTAAAAGTTTATTGCTTGTATATACAAAAATCAACTATTTACAAACACTATTATATACACTTTTGTATCTATATTTTATTTACATGTAAAAACATTAGTTAGGCTTCTTTTGTAGCAGACAACTGTGTCCTTCGATCACTTATAAATATACAGTATACACTAACTAAACAACGTCTAACACTAAATTAGTTCGCGCGCGATGAATAGAGTGCTGCTAGATTAAATTTGCGTCACACGTCTGCTCACAACAGCGCTGCTGCGAGAACTAGTTGCTGCTTGATATGAATAGCGCCATAGCGCAATAGCGCCATGGCGACTACTTACATAGCACGCGCTATGCGTTATGAAGAGATAGCGTGCTATAATATGGCGCTATGCGCTATATTAACCACCATTAGTCAGGATCGGGTCAAATGTAAATCTGTGGTCACTGCCTACCCCTCTGGGTGACAGGCGTTGATATACATATGTAACGAGGCAGGTTAGATATAATTTTCCAAGGGATATTGCCTGCGAATGTTGGGTTTCGATTCGAAGGGTATGTAGAAAGCCAGAATAATTACAGCATGTGAGGCATAACATTATGTATGTTGTAGAGTTATTTTGCAGCTATTATATGTATGGCTGCAGCAAAAATGGATCGACTCGACCGGGGAAAGACCACATTCTCACATAATACCAGCGTAAAATAGAAATGTATGTGGGCGGGGGGGTGATTCGTATGTGTACGGAACCGTAGACCCTTTTTAATGGTAACGAGGCATTTCACCTTAATCCTCAGGTATCATCAACAATCATTTTACTTCTTAATCGAGGATAGATATATTTTATACGTAGTAGAGAAACGCTGCAGCTATACTATAGTTGCAGCACGAATGGGTCAGCACGACCGGGGCAGGACCACGCTCTCACTGAATACCAGCGTAAAATAGCAGATTAATACTGCTGTGTTTCGTATGGTGAGTGTAGAGATCCGGAGAACATTTTTCACTGGAAACGAGGCATTTCATCTTAGTCCTCAGGGGTGACAACGTATCTACGTTTTAATTCTTAATCGATGATAAATGTAGATGTCTATAGGCCACAGCATCCACTTACCATCAGGTGGACTGTGTGCTCGTTTTAAAGTTGTTCAAAACGACGCATTTTAGACTAAAATAAAACGGTAAAGAAAAACCAATGAACGCTTTTTCATACTTTTCAGGCTTACGACTTTCTATAATCTTAAAAATATTTTTAAGGCATGTACTTTTTAAAACGAAATAAAATTAATTATTTTTTATTATAATTGATGTAAGCGTTATTTTAACCTTAATATAAATTATAAATCAAATAACGGTGTATTCTAATATTAAAAGTTTATTGATTGTATTTATAAAAATCAACCATTTAAATACACTTTTATATCTATTTACATTTAAAATCTTTAGTTAGGCTTCTTTTATAGCAGACAACTGTGTCTTTTGATCACTTATAAATATACAGTATACACTAACTAAACAACGTCTCACACTAAATTAGGTCGCCCGCGATGAATAGCGCGCTACTAGATCAAATTTGCATCGCACGTCCTCTCCCAACAGCGTTGCTGCTAGAACTAGTTGCCGCTAGATATCAGGGGGGGGGGTACAGATTCTTAATAAAGCATTTGGGCATAGAAAGTAACGCCATCAAGTGTATGGTAGGGGTCATAATTTCCTCAGTTTGTGTAATATTAGTTAATTAAATACTCAATAGATGGCAGAATTTAAGAAAGAAGCAGTGATCCATGTTACTTATTATATTTCAATTGCAGCTTAGGAACTTTGATATTTGCATTTTAATATCTTTACGATTTTCTCATTAAAATTATTTTTATTTATCTAATAAATTATAAACTATAAATTTTGTAATATAATATCACATAATAATTGTTTAATAAATGATTTATAAAGTATAAATTACGTACGTTCCGAATATTTTTATGTCCGATTGAAAGATTAGTCTGTGATACACCTCTGTAGCGGAAAATATAAAATATACCATCTGTGGCTGTTGTGGAAAAGAGATTAAAAAGTTTCAAAGTTCAATTTTAATTAAAGATATTAGTATAAACGGGAATGTCTTAATTTCCAAATTCAATGGAGCTCATTTTGTTTAACTTTTCTATGCTTTGAGTTTAATGTCGATTTATTATTTCGTATTTCGTAAAATAATTACATAAGTGTGGTGTTATGTAATAGCCTTAATCGGATAATGTCTAATGTGTTAGTGTTGCTGAAAATTGTGTGTCTTAAGGTGCCTCCATAATCATCTAATATTGAGTGCTCACATCATAGACTTATTATACTACTGAGCATATGTATATTATTATTTCTGTGTATCATCTGTCAATAATATAATTAAATCTCTATGAAAATAGTTTTTTTTTTTATTTCTAAACCATTAAAAGTATTTCCGTGTTCCATTCGTATCAATGCTTATTATTGTTCATTTATATATTATACTATTATAGTCATTTATTACTATTTCCGTACCAATTTTCTATATTCAGATGCAGAAAGTTGGAATGGAAATAGTATATTATAGGTAAATGAATATAATATGTAATATCGAATGTGGGGGTGATCAATGAGCAATATACATATACACACGCACACATTCACAGAGCATTATCGTGTGAGCGAATTCGACACACACACACACACACACACACATGCATATTATAATTAGCTAGCGTAACAATCATCAGGTGGCGCTTTTTCCAAGGCTCACCAGTTTAACTCGCAAGAGGGCTCTCTTTTTCCTTATATATTTACTATACTCTTTGCTAGATATTGATACTTAATAGCGTCAAAGCGCCATGGCACTATTGCGCTACTTACATAGCACGCGCTATGTGTTATGGAAAGATAGCGCACTATAATATGGCGCTATGCGCTATATTAACCACCATTAGCTCGTTTGTCACCCTTATTCTATATTTAAAAAAACTGACTAAGGTGTTCAACGTCCAGATGTCATAGTTAACCGCGGCTACCCATAGATTAAAATTATTAATTTTTGTCTTTCTATACAGTACGAACTTTTTATTATTTTCTTAATATTAACATACAAATAATATATTCAGGAAATTACGACACATCTTCTCGTCAGATATACCTCAAAACCAGAAAATTAGCTTGTACCCAGTGGCGTATTGCCAGTGATGATTTACGGATCTGAGACGTGTTCCTTCACACCTGGCCGTATGAGGACGCTCATGGTTGCTCAGGGAGCTATGGAGAGGGCTATGCTTGGGGTTTCTCTGCGTGATGAACTTAGAAATAAGGATATCCGCAGTAAGTAGTTCGATCTATACAGTACGAACTTATAGTATTTTGAAGTTTTGCAGTTGTATGCTTGGATTGGGATTTAATTTTATTAATTATGGAATCCCAATCAGGTGGTAGCGCCTAGCCATCTTCTATATTGAAATTAATATATGTATTACTCTCGGTACATTCAGAGGCTTGCCGCTTGCACCCAAGCACGTACAAGTAAACAAACCTTACAGTTACACATGTCGTGTCGAAAGAGATACTCCGTATTACGATGATATGTCTAGTTATTGAAATGAAACTTCTTTATCGGCTTTGTGGAGTAGTACGGTATTAAAAATAAAAACGTCACGTAATTTTGTATTTTTTTTCTTGTAACGTTTTACCGCCGGGGCCGGGGCCGGGGAGTATATTTTATTGCAACTACTTATGTAAAATCTATACAAATAAATAAAATTGGAGTGTCTGTTTGTAATTTCAAAATAACATATTTTTACTAGATGCATATGAAAGTACACACGGCCCTTATAACAAAATATAATTTTAATTTTTTTTTGTCTGTGTGTCTGTTTGTTTGTTCCGGCTAATATCCGTAATGGCTGGACCGATTTCGACGAGACTTTCACTGGGAGATAGCTGTTGTTACAAGGAGTAACATAGGTTACTTTATATTTTAGAAAAACAATTAGGGTTCCGTGCAAAAAATTAAAACCCATGAACTCCAACCGAATTAGCGGGCAAACGCTGGCGACAGCTAACATAAAATATTTGAACAATTATATGTCGAAAGAAAGTTTCACTTCGTACGTGTGTTGCAACTACACGCACAATTTTTTTTTACAGTTTCTTTAACACCTAACAAATTTTACTTATGTATTCTTCCCAGGGTTGAATCGTAGAGAATTCTTTAAGGCATAATTTCGACCCATTGTTACCCTTAGTCTAAGGTCTCTTACAGTAAAGATTAAAAAATACGCGATAGAAAAAGACGTGCCTTGTGAACATATATAAATAGGCGCTCAGCGCTGTGCAAGGTAAATTGCATTTTATTACGACGTAACAAGAGTTGTTTTCAATTTGAACGTTTTGCAGAGTAATCATATTGCACTTGTACATTTGTGGTGTCATCTGAAATCACTCCATTTATCGCCAAGTAATGACTACCCACAAGATTTCTCAAATTTCTTTAAAAAATGTTAACCCCACATTAGTGTTATCCCATGTATGATATTTGAATGCACATGAGCAAACATCCAGACCTGTAACAATTGTTTTAAGCACCTACAAACACTTGTTCCTTGCAGTATTCGAACTTGAAAATTCAAATCAACGCACATCCGACAACAAGCGTGAAAGTTACCACTCTAAAAATTACCAAATGGGAATATATGCCCTTACCCATATATAATGGACTCCCAGGTGCCATAGTGTATAACACCACTCCTGGCAGCTTTCCGATACTCCGGAGGCAAGTAGGTGCTGATGTAGGACTCGACGGAGTTCAGGGTACCTGGTCATTGGAAATATAATCATCATCATCATCATTATAGTCCTTCACAAGTTCTCTGCTGAACATAGGCCTTTTTTTATAGGATAGGGAGACAAACAAGCACACAGTCCACCTGATGGTACGTGGCTGCTGTGGCCCATAGACATCTACATCTATCCTATACTATATATATATATATATATATATATATATATATATATATATATAATGCAGATACGTTGCCACCCGTGAGGACTAAAATGAAATGCCTCGTTTCCAGTAAAAAGGGTCTCCGGTTCTCTACACTACATAGCAGAATTAAGCTATGTTTTACGCTGGTATTTTGTGAGAGCGTGGTCCTTCCCCGGTAGAGTCGACCCATTCGTGCTACAACTATACTTCTACTATAACTGCAGCATGGCTCTACCACGTATGGCCTCCCCCAAGGAAAGTCACAAAGCACACGGTCCTGAGCCACCTGCATCCATCGACTTCCTGCATGATTTACCAGGTCGTCACTCCATGGTGTGACGACTAGTGGGGGGACGCCCTACACTTTGCCTGCCGTTACGAGGCTGCCACTCGAAAACCTTTTTTTCCCATCGGTTATCGTTTCTTCGAGCTATATGGCTGGCCCATTGCTACTTCAGTTTACTAATCGGTTGGGCTACATCGGTTACTCCGGTTCTACAGCGGATATCCTATATAGATTGTACAACCAGTGCGTGATGCCAGTGATGACGTATGGATCTGAGATGTGGTCCTTCACTGCCGGCCGTATGAGGAAGCTCAAAGTCGCGCAGCGCACTAATGAGAAGGCTATGCTCGGAGCTAAATAAAATTCAATTACTCATTACAGCCTATAAAAATCCACAGCTATCATAGGCATCCCCCACAAATTGCCTCATAGAAAGGATTTTGCCATAGTAGGCACACTTGGCAGACGGGTTGGCAAATGCAATTTTTTATTATTTTGAGTTTTTACCAGGAAGATGCTGCTGCCTATCTTTCTGTTTCCTCTATCGCCTATTACGACCATCCACGGGACGATATGGAGTGGATGTATCAAATTATTGTCATCAATAATGATCAGTTTAACGTCTCTTTTACGTATTTATACGTGGTAGAGCCACGCTGCAGCTATATTATAGCTGTAGCACGAAAGGGTTGGCTCGACCGGGGAAGGACCACGCTCTCACAGAATACCAGCGTAAAATAGCAGCTTAATACTGTTGTGTTTCGTATGGTGAGTGTAGAGAGTGAGAGATCCAGAGACCATTTTTTACTGTAAACGAGGCATTCCATCTTATTCCTCAGGGGTGACAACGCATCTGCGTTTTGATTCTTAATCGAGGATAAATGTAGATGTCTATGGACCACAGCATTTACTTACCATCTGATGGACTGTGTGCTCGTTTGTCACCCTTATTCTATATAAAAAACGTGATACTGCAGCTGTAGTATGGCAGCGACACGAATGTAAATTAGCAGCAAAATGCTAATGTATTTCGTATTTTCGGTGAGTAAGATCCAGAGACCGTTTTTACAGGTAACGAAGCTTTATGAATTTTTAAGGTGTGGTAACTCATTCACATTGTTATTGTTAATCGAAGATTTACAGCGTCTTAGCGACGTGAGAGGCAGTGGCGAAGCTTCTATTAAAGCCGAAAAGCCGGGCTTGCCTTATTAAACCTGAATCAATCAATAATATCAATCAATAATATCAACTAATAAAATAACTCGTAAAATGTTTCAAGCTATTTCAAATTTCCCGCGCACTCCACTAATCGACACATGACGACCGATGACCTCGTATTGCCTTAGCGATATTGCTGCTGTCATAAAAAATGAGTTTTAATAGAGCTAATAGTTGTCTCCCTCGCTCGCGTGTGCTTTTTACGGGGTTTCGAGAAGACGATCGCTCTCTTTCTAACCTATGGCAAAATATTCTATAATTAAATATAACTACGATTGTAACGGGTGTCCAGTGGCATGAAACTTTGATCAGACTTAATTTTCGAACGCAACGTAGGAGAAGGGCGCGGAGGGAGTTATTCGACGCGCAAGCGATGCGGATTTTTTAGTAGCGTAGTAGCCATGGATCCGTGGAGTGGAGAGCACCGCGCTTTTGCCGTCGAGGTGTACTTTTCGAGTGGATTTTCGCTGTCTGAAGCCCGTCGTCGATTTAATAATCACTACGGTATTCGTCGAGTTCGTGATGGACCATCAATCAACCTGATTCAGTCTTGGGTAGCAAGGTTTAGAGCAACGGGATCAACAATAAATAGACCCAGACCAGGACCAACACCAACGGTAGCCACGGACGAAAATCTCGAACGTGTTATGGCTTCTGTGATTGAAAATCCTCGTTTATCACTTCGTGCACGTTCATCGATTTTGGGTATTAGTAAATCAACTTTACAGGTAATAATGCGAAAAAAACTTAAATTCCATCCTTATAAGATCCAAATCGTCCAAGATTTACTCGAATCTGACTTTGAATTAAGGAAAACTTACGCAGAGACGATGTTGTTGAGATTTAAAACTGCTACTCGGATGGGTAACATATTCTTCAGTGACGAAGCCCATTTCCATATCGGAGGATATGTAAATAAACAAAATTTTCGTTATTGGGATATTTCCAACCCGAGAAAATTGCATGAAGAGCCTTTACACAAACCAAAAGTCACAGTATGGTGTGCAATATCTGCGTCTGCCATAATAGGGCCTTATTTCTTCGAAAATGAACGTGGCCAAACTGTAACAGTAAATTCCGAGAGATATGCTGAGATGATCAGTAATTTTTTAGACTAGAATTACAGAATAGTCCATACTGTAACCGGAATACGTGGTTTCAGCAAGATGGGGCCACAGCTCACACTGCTAATGTGGCCATGAGTGCAGTGCGAGAGTTGTTTCCCGAAAAAATCATATCCCGGAACGGCACCATACCGTGGCCTCCCAGGTCACAGACCTAAGTCCGTGTGACTTTTTCTTATGGGAATACTTAAAATCTATCGTTTACAAAACAAATCCGACCACTGTGACACAGCTGAAAGAAAACATTCGAGCAGAAATCAGCAAGATTCCCCAGTCGCTTTGTAAAAGAGTTTTCGAAAACATGCGTTCCAGACTCGAGGAGTGTGTTAGGGTCGATGGCCGCCCTTTAGACAACGTTGTTTTCAAAAAATAAAATCCGCCTTTATGTTCTTTATATTTTAATAAAAATACTTTGCATAAAACGTGTCGTTCTTTTTTTTATAATTTTTCAAACTTTGAAATCTGCCACTGGACACCTTTATATATGGCAATTGGTATAGAGATTTAAAGCCAGACTTTTGGGAATAAATTTGTTAAAAGCGGAGGTGCGTGAACAATTCGTTTGCAAGTTCATTTCACGTTTCAATGTTTATTTATTCTGTGTGCTTATCTTAAGCGATTTAATATTACGAGTTCAAAATTTATGCTTTTTTAAAGATTTTTAATGAAAATGGAGGATAATAGTGTTCCTTGTGATGAATTGAAGTGTGTTAAAGTGATAATCGGAGAGGAAATCTTTAAACTTTGTTGAGATAATACATAAGGTGGTAAGAGTGTATTTCAGACATCAATTATCGCAATTAAAAACGTTATTGGCACAATTAAAAAGTTCACCAACATTTTACGTGAACGTAATTAAATCTTTCCGTAAGAAAGCGAGACGATTCCACTTATCTTATCTCTTATCCATTAGAATGTAAATATTTTTTTTTAATTTTGTACATAGTTTGTACTTTGTTCGTGTTTTACTTTTGTTCATGTTCAACAAACCCAAACGGCTTTCTTCAAAGCCACCGAAGCTATGCAATTGCTGATATGTAATACAATCTATCTAGCAGTGGTATGCCTTCTGTGTGCTTTGTTAAACACGTCCTTGACAGTACTGAATATGAAACTGAAGCGTGTAGACAGATCAAGATTGGTGTATTTTTATAAAACTGCTAAAAACAACAATCTATATTTTTATCAATTTATATCTTGGGCTTGCCCTAGCTTGGAGCTCTAGCTTCGCCACTGGTGAGAGGATCCACTATCGCATATCATCCCGTAGACGTCGCCATAGACGACAGAGGGAAACTGAAAAAGGAGATGGGTAGCATTTCTTGATAATTCAAAATAATAATCACTGCGATCATCATACGTAGCAACTGTAGGAAATATCTTTCCCAGTGATTTCTTACGAGTATACAGGGTGGTTATTATAAAAAGAGTAGCCAACTTTTAGACTTAAGGTCAAATATATAATTAATGATATAATGTTATAGCAGTTTTTAAAAATACGAGTAAATACTTTTTTTATTATCTCAAAACGTTTTTGACGAGCAATCGACCCTTACGAAATCGTAGTCATTAGATATTTATGAATGACAATCAGTTAAAATAATGAATTAAAATAATGTATTCCACGCATTTTTAAATAATTTTTCTTCACCATTCACCTATATTACTTATTGTGATCCTTCTCTGCACATTTGGCCGTATATAGCAAAATAACCCTTTATTTACACGAATACTTCACATTGAATAAAAGTAATACGTATTGTATCGCGTTTAATATTACTTATTTAAATTATTTTTAATTTCCGGCGTTTATGGTTTATTATGGCACTCATGGTTATTGACTGACGCTTTTGAAGTCGCTATGTCATAGCCCGGCTACCTTCAGCTTTGGAACATAAATTTTTGGGTCGATCTACGAAGAACAAGCTTACATTATCTTCCAAGTCTTGCAGTGGTATGCTTGGGTTTGAATTTATTTTATAAATTATAGGATCCCAAGCAGATAATAGCTTATGTTCAATTCAGTTTAAAATTTCTACAACCCTATAAGTTAGTGCCATTTGCACATTGAAAAAAAAAATTATGAAAAACAACACTAAAATATTTAAAAATTACCTTCGAAGTTTTGCTCAAGAAAAATGACACCCATGTCGTTGGGAATACTGTCGAAGCCGCACGCACTGATGATGTATACGCCCGCCTCGCGCGCTGCCGGGTCGTATCGCAGCTGCATTGACTCAATGAACTGAAAGTAACAGATAAGCCCCTCATTTAAAGCGTTCTTAGTTTGCATCCTCCACAAAAACATCAACATTTGTTTCCATTTCTTATTATCATTAGCCAGTAAGAATCCACAGGTGGTCGTGAATATAAGAAAATTGACGGTGGGAACACCAAAATATTTTTGAACCCCCGCGCCTTTAGAACTCTGGAATTCTACTATATCCAGAGTTGTAAGAAGGATCTAGAAGCTTCTTCTTTAAATGCTAAGCTCACCCTCAATCGGTACACCGTGCTAACCAACGAACGTAACTTTGACGACTAATAAGAGAAGTATTCTACAAGGATTCATCATCATCATCATTACAGCCCTTTACAAGTCCACTGCTAAACATAGGTACCCTACACTACGCTGCGATCCTTCCCCGGTCGAGCCGACCCATTCGTGTTACAATTATAATACATATATCTGAGATACCAAATCTGAGAACATAAGCTCATCGACAGAGCGTTTGGTAAAATACGGTGTCCCACAGGGCAGTGTCTTAGGGCCTCTCTTATTTATAGTATATGTAAATGACCTCCCAAATGCCACTAAGCAACCTATGACCTTATTTGCCGACGATAGTACTATAACTATTAACTGTGATGACATCTTTTCTTATAAAAATGACATAAATGAATCATTAATATCAATAATAACATGGCTAAATAATAATAATTTGAAAATTAACCTAAATAAGACACACATTATGCATTTTAGCCAAAGACCAATCACCCCATCTAATATTAAAGTAAAATATAACGACACTGTTATTGCTGAAGTAGATACAACCCGATTTCTCGGCTTACAAATTCATCAAAAACTAAATTGGAAAGCTCATATACTAGAACTAAATAAAAAAATAAATAGTTCGGCTTATGCCCTGTTTAGACTTTCTGCTACAGTTAACATTGACGCACTTCTAACAGCTTATTATGGGATAGTCGAATCTGTCCTTAGATATGGAATTATTTTCTGGGGTAACTCAACTGACAGAGAAGTAGCATTTAAAAGTCAGAAAAGATGTATCCGTGCAATGTTTGGTCTTCAGGCTACCGATAGTTGTGCGCCGTATTTTATTAAACACAGAATTCTCACACTTCCGTCCTTATACATAATGGAGACGGCTCTCTTTGTCAGGGCCAATCCCAACCTATTTCCACGGTTAACTGACAAAGTAAAGCGCAACCGTCGTGACGGAAGTAAATTGTATTTGCAACAAGCAAAAACGGCTCTGCTAAGAAAGAGTGTAGTATGCATGGCTCCTAAAATCTATAATAAAATTCCTCAGATGTATAAATCATTGAACAGCAATCTTTTTAAAAATAAATTCAAAAAACTTCTAATTGAAAAATGCTACTACACTGTAACGGACTTTCTCAATGATAAATTTTGACATTATATAATTGCCTTATACATACATATATTTTTAATTATGACTGTAGTAAGTAATAATCTCGCTGACTTTGTATATTGATAGACTTTGCCAATGTTAAATGAAAATTAACAATCTAATCACTTTAAATTTTACACACCGAATATGACGGTAAGACATGTTGACACTGATAACACTAACACCCAAGAACATATCTCTGCCCATGCATTGTATATCTCACACATGTTTGAGTAAATAAAAATATCTTATATCTTATATCTTATATCTTATCTTATATCTGCAGCGTGAGTCTACCAAGTCCGTTGCACCATGCAGCTTCAGTGCGCGTTGGAAGACTATACGACATGCCTACGGAATAGTTTAATTAAGCCCGGCCCCTGACATACAATATCTATAAATAGTGCGCAAAATGTAAATAACAAAAGAACAGGTTTATACGTGGTAGAGTCATGCTGTAGCTATATTAGTTGTAGCAAGAATGGGTCGGCTCGACCAAGAAGGACTACGCTCTCACTGAATACCAGCGTGAAATAGCAGCTTAATGATGCTGTGTTTCCTATGGTGAATGTAGAGAACCGGAGACCCTTTTTACTGGATACGAAGCATGTAGATTCTTAATTAAAGATAAATGTAGATGTCTATGGGCACAGTATCCACTTATCATCAGGTGAACTGTGTGCTTGTTTGTCCCTTGACCCTTATTCTATGAACAGAAGCAATAAGTATTAAATATAATTATCTGACAGCAGAAACAATGTAGGGCGAGGGTTAAAGGTCGACAATACGAATTAATGAATCAATGTGCATGTGTAATCAGTAATAGATATTTACTAAGAGTTTTACGTGGTAGAGCCATGCTGCAGTAATATTATGGATGTAGCATTAATGGTTCGGCTCGGCCCGGCCCCAACTTAATGCTGCTGCGTTGCTTACGCTGACTGCAGAGAATGGGAGATCCTTTTTGCTGAATACGAGACATTCCACCTTAGTCCTTAGAGCCTGCCTTTTGATAATCGAGGATAAATAAATGTAAAAGATGTCTATGAGCCACATTATCTACTTACCACGCTCTCACAGAATACCAGCGTAAAATAGCAGCTTAATACTGCCGTGTTTCATATGGTAGTAGTGTATGTAGGTAGGTAGTAGTGTATGGTAGTAGGAGTGTAGAGATTCAGACACTTTTTTACGATACAATTTTTATTCGACACAAAAAACGACTTTTGCTCAAAATTTAATGTGATCTAAGTTACATAATTACGCAACAATGATTTCTTATATTTACGCGAACACTACACATTGATTAAAACTACTTTTACGGATTTTATCACGTTTAATTTTAATTATTTTTATTTTTAATTCCCGGAGTTTCGGGTGCTCTCCAGCACCCATGGTCACGAGGGACTGAGGAGACTGACGTCCCGATGTCATTGTTAAACCCGGAGTACCTTCGGTTTTTTTAATTATTGTTTATGGTCCGATCTATGCAAAATGAACTGACTATGTCTTGAAGTCTTGCAGTGGTATGCTTGGGTTTAGTTTTAATTTTATTGATTATAGGGTCCCAAGCAGAACAACGTCGGGAATTAAAAATAAAAATAATTAAAATTAAACGCGATAAAATCCGAAAAAGTATTTTTAATCAATACATAATTATGCGTTAAATGAAACTGGTCCCATTTCGATATCACTTTGTTCTCGAGATACACGAGGCGAAAATTGAATCCGAACAAACATACATAGGTACGTATTTGTGCATACACGGACATCCTCTTAAAAACCATACTATTCGAGTTTAAAGACTGAAACGTGGAGATATGTTGAAATTTCCAATTTGCAAAATCGGATCCATTACAATAAATTCTCACTGGGAAGTTTCAATAAGTATTCCTGTAATTTATATTGAATAAAAATGATTGTATTCTATTCTATTCTATTCATCAGGTGTTTTTTTTTCAATTATATATAAAAAATATATATATTTGAAGCTCAACCACCTACCGTAGGTTCCCCGCTGACGTCGACGTAATGCGTACGACAATGCACAGCGGCCCTCACAACCGGCTCCCCGTACAGCCTGTAGGGTCCGCAGCAGTTGACGAGCACCTTCGCTCGTTCGCACATCGCCTGCACAGAGCTGTCGTCCTTCACATCGGCTAGGATCACCGGCGTCGAGGACAGATCATCGCCTGATATGAATGAATAAAACACAATCATTATACATAAAGATTGCTTATCACTAGATGAAAAGATAGAAAAAAGAAATCATTATTCGACTATATTAATATGGAGAAACATAATTATATAGAAGGATAATTACTTTTATAAATATTTTTTTTAACTAGTAGAGCCACGCTGCAGTTTGCACGAATGGGTCGGCTCGACCACGCTCTCACAGAATACCAGCGTAAAATAGCAGCTTAATACTGCCGTTTCGTATGGTGAGTGTAGAGACAATCCATCTTAGTCTTCAGTGGTGACAACGTATCTGCGTTTTGATTCTTAATCGAGGATAAATGTAGATGTCCATGGACCACAGCATCCATTTATTATCAGGTGGACTCTGTGCTTGTATGTCACCCCTATTTTATAAAAAAATTACGAACTATTTTATATTATACTAGCGATACGTCCAGGGGAAAAAATATAGCTTAGAAATCTCGTGGCATTGCTCTCCATGACAGACAGACAAACACAGTTACTTATGGAAAAAAATATTATTTGCACATAATAATATACTACTACTATACTTGATGCCCTTTTTTACCGTCTGGAAAAAAATAGGGTGTAACCACAGAAATCGTAATAATAAGACAATAGAAATGAATTAGCGCTCGATTACTTCCAAAACCAATGTCGCCACATCTTACCGTATTATAAACATACGCAATGCACAATGATACCTAATGTTTCAAAGTACATTGCTTGGCGAGTTTGTCAACGTCGCGTGTGTTGCGCAGTATTACGGTAGAACAAAAGCAGCAAAAAAAAAAACAATTCGCAGAAATGGTTGGAGTATCAGATACAACCATTTTCAAAATTCTTCAAGACCATGTTGGCATGACTAAAGTCGGCGCAAGATGGCTGCCTAGAATGCTCACGCCGCCTCAAAAGCAACAGCGCGTGGAGTGTTCTCGTGCATTTTTGGACCTCTGTATGGAAGCTTCGATCACCAATATGATCGAAGTATGGAAGACAAAGATGGAGTGTTGGCTCGAATTGTTACTGGTGACGAAACTTGAGTTCACCACTATGAACCTGAGTCCAAACAGAACTATGCAGTGTGGCACAAAAGGCACACCACCACCCAAGAAATTTAAGGTGGCACAATCGGCTGGGAAAACCATGGCGACAGTCTTTTGGGACTCAGAAGGAATCCTACTGATTAATTATAAAGATAAAAGTGTATCCATAACCGGTAATTACTACGCTTCAATCCCAGAACAATTGAAGGAAGCCATAAAGGAGAAATGAAGGGGAAAATCGACCAAAGGAATCCTTCTTCTGCACGACAACGCGCCTGTTCACAAGTGCCATGTTGCGATGGCTGCCCTGCAGAAGGTGGGCTTCGAAATTTAGCGACAGCCACCCTATAGTCCTGACCTGGACCCCAGTGATTATTATCTATTTCCAAACTTAAAAAAGAACTTCGTGGGAAGAAGTTTTAAAGTGATAAAGAAGTGAAGGAAGCAGTTTCGGCGTATTTTAGACAAAGACAACTAATTTTTTGAGGGTATACATAAGTTAATTGAAGGATCCGTAGGTATGTATTAAAGAATGTATTAGGGTAGCAGGTTAATATATTTAAAAAAAAATTGGATTTTTATTTCCACTCCTTACCCCCATTCCGCGAACTTTAAAATATCCCCTCGTAGAACCCGCTTTACTTGCGCACTGTGAAATTTACAGCGGGCGCTACTTATACTTATTACTTATAATATAAACATTTGAATTCGCAAAAACTGGTATGAATTAAGAAACAAGCAAGGTTAATACTGTTTAAAAAAAACTTGACTGCATAATAAATGACTAGTAATACGTTTACTGGCGATGAATTCATCGAACAAGCAGTCGTTACATAAGTCGTCAGGTGACTTATGTATGTTAAAAGCCTCGTTATAATTTTGTTCATGACGTCGGTGCTGAATAGATCGATTTACTGTTTGTAACCTTTAACCTTAATTTAAATCTTCAGGAGTATTCAAATGTTCAAATAGTTTTAGTTAATTTATGTCACATTTGCTTCGGGTGACCATAATTGCAATCTTTTAAAAATCTTTATTTTCTACTAGCTTATCCGGCGCGTTGCAGTCTGAGAAGAAATTGTGGAAATGTCGTTTTAATTTTGGAAGAGTTATACTGTTTAATTTGAAATTATATAATATACAGGTTTCAAATTCATAAGTCGGTACGATACGCACGCCACGTACTGTAACTTAATTGTAATATGCATACTATACCTATAACATTCGCGCAAGTGCATCTGCATTTTGATTCGTAATCCAGGATAGATGTAGATGTCTATGGGCCACAGCAACCACTTACCATCATCAGGTGGACTGTGTGCTCGTTTTCACCCTTATCCTATAATAAAAGGTTGGAAATTTTTGCCGCAATCTGACGAATGATTGATGAAGGTAGATTTTATATTTAAAACGTTAAATTGCAACACTGTGTAAAAGTCATATGTTTATAAGTAGATATCTATGTAATTATCTAAGTATTAACAGGTTCCCTGTCCGCGATATAGACACAATAGTTAAACAACAGCAATATTCATATGTGATTCATGGGACAGGGAAAAGGTTAACATAATATTGAGCCGTGGTAGTTCAGATGGTTAACGTACGCTGTACATATAACAGAACGCGAGTAACCCGGGTTCGATCTCCGCCGGCACCAATGAAATTGTTAATTGCAATTTTAAGTGCTGATTTACCACGTGCTCGGCGGTGAAGAAAAACATCGTGAGGAAACCTGCATGTCTGAGGAATAAGAAAAATATATATTTCGAAGACATTCGAAGTACGCCAACACGCATTGGGGCTGCTCGGCGGACACTTCCTTGCCCTAAAACCCTTTCAGAAATGAGGGGAGGCCCGTGCCCAGCAGTGGGACGTATATAGGCTGTAACTTCACTTTTTTTACTTTTAACATAATATTAACAAGTATTGTCTCATGCGTGCCTATTTAAAACTAATAGGTACGTAGTGATCAGTTAATCGCGGTCCATCGAAGCCATTTTAACGCGACTGTTTTATTTTTATTGCTTTGATCATTGACCAAATCGAAGTTTTAAACTATAAAGACTTTTTTATTCACCATAACTTTTTAATTAACGGGCATATTTAAAAAAAAACACCCTTAAATTTCAGCATGTATATGGGACCAATCTGAAAGTAAAGTAAAGTAAAGTAAAGTGTAACAGCCTATATACGTCCCACTGCTGGGCACAGGCCTCCCCTCATTTCTGAGAGGGTTTTCAGGCAAGGAAGTGACCGCCGCGCTGCCCCAATGCGTATTGGCGAACTTCACATGTCTTCGAAATATTTTTTTCTTATTCCTCAGACTGCAGGTTTCCTCACGATGTTTTCCTTCACCGCAGAGCACGTGGTAAATGATATAAAGATAAAAAAATATGGGACCAATCTGAAAGTGTATCCTTTCAAATAAAAAACCCAACTCGGTTTAATGGAATTACGGAATTCTAAGTTAACAAACAACCACCGATTTAGAGCCTCCTCCTTTTTTGAAGTCGGTTAAAATTAAACATTACACGTTGTCCTTATTGTATTCGATCGAATAATTGTGTAAATTAAGTTATACACAATTAAGTGCCCATGTTACACAATTAAATATTTGATGACAGAATATTAAGGATATACACTGTATAATAATAATAATAATAATATTTATTGAATCCAAACATACTGTACATAAAAAATATAATTTACTAAAATTATAATATACTCGTAATATCCTTAAATTTTATTAGGTACCTTACCTACATCTGCATTATTGTACCATTAAATACGTATAATAAAGTTACATCAGTACCATCATTACCTTTTTTTTTAATTTTATTCCATTGTATATTTTCATAAGACGTTTATTTTATTTGATCAATTACTTACTTACTTACTTACTTATCTTCACGCACAATCCCTAACGGGGTAGCCTGAGAGAACAGATCGCCAAGTGTCACGATCCTTACATACCTCTTTCGCTTCTTTCAGGTTTTTGGGTCTTCGAGCAAGTTAGTCTCGGTCTACCTCGACACCTTTTAATATTTACTTTCGCTCTATATATTTTCTTCACCATTCGGTCTTCACTCATTCGTTCAACGTGCCCAAACCATTGGAGTACGCCCCTATCAATTTTTGTGATAAGGTCATCTTTCAATCCTGCCATATTGCGAATCTCTTCGTTTCGCTTTCGGTCGGCTATGGTAACGCCACACATTTTACGAAGAGATCGCATCTCCACTGCATTCAACTTGCTTTTATGCTTCTTCTGGCATACCCAGGTTTCGCTGCCATATAACAAAGTCGGTACCAACACTGCGTTATGTATTGCAAGGCGTGCACTCTTCACCACGCCATGCCTTTTTACTAATGCATTCAGGGCACCATTGACTTTGTTTCCGGCAGCGACACGCCTATCCACATCTAAATCACATCTTCCATCCCGGCTTAAAGCACTCCCCAAGTATACAATTTCATTTACCTGTTCTAGACATTCCTGATTTACCCATATTTCAGATTTCGTTCTCTCTTCGTCCTTTTCAAATACCAGAACCTTAGTTTTATTAGCATTCAAACGGAGACCTTTAATTTCACATTCCTCTTTCATACACGTGACTAATGCCTGCAGTTCTGCATCTAATGGTGCAATAAGCACTGCATCATCAGCATACAGCAGACAATTAACTTTTATGTCACCCAATTTCACACCCAAACAGCTATTTTTCAGCTTCTGTAAACAGCTGTCGAGATACAGTATGAACAGCCAGGAAGACATGACACAACCCTGTTTTACGCCCGCTTGGACGCTAAACATGGGTGACAGGTCATGCCCTACCCGCACACAGGCTTTACAGTCATAGTAAAGATTTGATCAATTCATTATCATTAATTTATCGCCAGAAACTGGTATCGCTGGAAGCCGTATATGTGTGCGTGTGACGAACGTAGGCACCTTGTCGGCACATTCGACTCGCGCACACCAACATGAAGACCTTGCGTCTCTCTGACTCTCGTATTTTGCACTAAGGTTATCAACGCCCGCGTTATCAACTGAGTCATCGGGCTATCTACGTCAATAACAATTAGAATGCGCCACCGCTCTCCGCCACTCGCTACCTGGGTCCGCCTTGTCGCGGCTGACGAAGCTATAGGTCGCGTCGCGCCACGAAAGATGAAATTAATAAATAGCGTCCACTGCGCATGTACAATCACAATATGTACAATCAAACAGAAAAATTAAAATTTTATTATGGCATTTTAATATGTGAAAAGTCAAAGGTCAACACAATAACTACACATCAAAGTCTCCACGAAAACGGAACGATAAAATTATTTATATATCATCGTTAGGTCTTAATTGCTTCTAAATAATATTCTGTATTTTATGTACACCTAGTTAAAGAAATAAAATATTTTGTATTTGTATTTTTGTATTTGTAATTGCTGTTTAAACTATACTATGCAATAGCCTTCAATTACAAGGATATTTTACATGTAACAATTTGGAAAAAAAATCATCTTGTAGAAAATAACAAAATATTTACAACTTTATACAATATACTACGAAATACGCTATTTTAAATAGTCCTAAAATAATTTACAATCATCATCATCATCATCATTACAGCCCTTCACAAGTCCACTGCTTAACATAGGCCTCCCCCAAGTAATGCCACAAAGTAATAAATAATTTACAAAGTAATAAATATTTGCACACTATTTGAAAATATTATAGAACAATATTTTTAAAAGTACAAAAATAATTGCAAAAATTTAAAATTTTATAACAGGTAGTCGCTAACACTTTCGATAACGATAGTACACAAGACGACACAAGAAGGTGCGCGGGCGACGGGACGCAGAGAGAAACTACTTGGGAGTAGCGCGTCGGCCGTTGCTATAGTTTCGCTTCCCTGTACCTCACACCTCACCGTGCCGACACCTATTTTTCGCTTCTGCACACTTTCATGACTCGTGGCGTTGTTGAATTTGTCGCTGGTTGTTTATGTTTAGTAAGGTAACAAGGTAAGGACCTCTGTGGGACAAAAACATCGCATTTACAAATAATGCAATAAAAGAACTGTTACGAAAAGTTAAAGAGATTAGGCCTAAAAACATTTTAATGGTGGCCACACACGGTCAGTTCAACTGATCATTCCAACTGATCAGTTCAAACTAAAACTGTTGATATTTTTAAAATATCGGATTTTCGATATACCCATAAATAAACTTACATGTAAAACACCGATATTAATATATTTGTAATGATCGATATATCAAAAATCCACTATTTTAAAAAATATCAACAGTTTTAGTTCGAACTGATCAGTTGGAATGATAAGTTGAACTGACCGTGTGTGACGTCCATAATAGATCAGCTGGCAAATGAACATGGTCATTAAGTGATAGGTTTGCCACCATATCATTGTCAATATAATCCTATTGAGTTCATATGGGCTCAGGTAAAAGGAGAAATTACAGCGCAAAACCATACTTTTAAAATAGCCGATGTTGAAGTTTTTTTTGCATAAAGCAATAGAAAACGGTACCAGGAGAAACTAAGTTAAATGTGTGAAGCATACAGAAGACCTCCAGAAAACGGATTCGAAAAAAGCTTTTTAAGAGATCAAGTTGAACCTTTGATTACAAATCTACAGAAAGACGATAGTGAGTGAAGATAATTTGTAATACAGTAAAATATTTATAAATGTAAATTACATATTATTTACTTTATTGTGTTATTTTATAATTTTATAATTTCAAACCTTAAAAAATCCATTCATTAAATCTTGACTACCCGCTGTTATGTACATCATTATGACGCTCCATATGCCCCGTGCGTGCGAGCGAAATAGACTGATTACAATGATTTATTGCCCGAGGACTCAATTGATAACGCGGCGTGGGCACTATAGACTGCGTTTCTACTGGGTGATAATTCTATGATGTATGGATAATATAGCAGCGTAAAACTTACCAGTCTTCTTAGAAGCCTCCTTTAGCACAGCGTCAAGCTTAGACTGAGATCTGCCGGCAATTCCCCAAGTGAGCCCCGGCCTCCTCTTAGCAATTCTTGCACATTCTATGACGGTGTTCTTGCCAGTAAACCCAGTGGCTCCAAATATCACCAGATCTAGTCGGGACATCTAAGAGTGGAAGAAAGCAAACACAAATTACGATGTTGTTGCACAATCTACATTAGAAAATAATTGCGACTAAGCACTATTATAACTTGTTTACGTATTTTAACATAATACTTTTAAATTAATAATAACTAGCTTTTACCCGCGACTTTGTTCGCATCGCATTTAATTTCTAAAGGACAAACCTGCAGATCTATAAAAGTAAGTAGTACCTAGTAGCTTTTGGATAAGTAGTTCAACTACCCACATATAGAACCACCACACACTTTGCACCATACATTATTTCGAAAACTATGTGCGTTTTGGGAAAATGTTAAAAAATATTAAACTTTATTGACAATATATTATTTATTATACATATAAATAAAATTGAAAGTGTCCGTCTGTAATATTCAGATAGTTGGTTTTTATAGAGTTGAGGGGGAGATTTGCATGCTATTAGAACATTGACAACTGTTTTTAAAACTTTTGTCTGTTTGTGTGCCTGTCAGGGCTAATCTTCGAAATGGCTAAACCGTTTGTGAAGAAACATATCGAGAGCAATGCCAGTAGGGATTTAAGCTATTTATGATATTAATTGATAGACTAACAGACAGACAAAAATTCAAGAAATGTTTATTCATGTCTCAATAGCTTGCAGATAACCCCCCGAGCTGAGCTCAATAGAAGCCAGTTATTTGGATATTACGACAGAGATATACAGACTAGCTTTTACCCGCGACTTTGTTCTCATATAACCTTAAAAAAAGAAACTCTGTAGATCTATAATAGTGGTTACTGAGCACGTTAGTCAATTATCGAAAACCATTTTAAAGTCGTCTCTCTCTGTTTTTTTTTTGTTTTTATCTCTAAAGCTATGTCCGATATGGGAAATTTTTTAATATTTTATGTATTATAATTTGATATAATTGGAATATATATATATATATATATATATATATATATATATATATATATATAAATTGACAGTATAGCTTAAACATAGATACAAAATAAAAAAATATCTAGACATAAAATTAACTACTTTTATATTAATAAAATATAATGAAATTGTTGTTGTTACTAACAAATAGAACATTAACAATTAAAGAGGAAAAGCAAATTGATAGTTTCTATTATAATCGGAGATTCGTATCATCAACTTGAATTTGCACTATGGACAAGTCCATACCGGCCAATGTGTACACAAGCTTGTCGACGACAATAATGGTATTAAGGTGTATCCCTGACCAAAATGTTGCGAAAGTGCGTTTTTCAGACTCTATTACCTCATTAGTTATGAAAAATAAACTACATCTAAAAGTACATTATTAATGTTCGATATCTTATCATCACATTCCACGTTCTAATTTATTTTTATGTGCTATAAATACATTTAAAATCAACTTTTAAAAAATGACTAAAATTCTTGATTACATGCATCTGTTGATAAACGCAACGCTCTAATCATTTGAGGATAACACTAATGGATAGATAATTAAAAAATCTATATTCTCCACGTTTTACTTAAATTTTTAAGTTCGTTTTTCTCTTTTAATTGAAATAATTCCGTAAATTGCGTGAATTCTATGATAAAGGGGCGTGCGCAAAGTGCGGGCGGTATTCCGCTGTTCCGTATTTCGCCGCAAACATAATATTATTTGAGTACCTACCAACCTATGCGCTTACGTCACGGTAATATTATTTATACAGTATTGTAACTCGGCCGTATCTTTGAAATAAATCCTACAGCCGTGCGGTACGTAAACATGCGATAGGGCTGCCTGCCTCCAGCATTTTTACATTTGCCCATTGATTTATGTGTTGTATAACTCAATGCATTTGCCTACTTTGTGTTTCCATTTAGTTTTATGATTGTACAATATACTTTTTTTTATATAAACAAATATATAATAGCTACTTTGTGAATTGAATAGGAAGTGTTCAATAAAAATGCGTGTCGTTTTTTGATTGGTAGATTTAATTAAAAAACCATGTTTATGTTTGAATAACAAATCGGTCTTATGAATTTGCGGCCGAAAAATATTTGCGCCTCGGCTGAGACGTACGAAATGCTTTATTATTAAAATTGTAAGTATAAAAAAATCCGCATTATAATATAAAGCTTAATTAAAAATTGTTTTGGGAAACATGGACAAGTTGGAGTAAAGGAATATCTTTTACTTGGTTATAGATACCTGCAGCTACTTTACAATTTATATGTTTGGTTTTAAATGAAGTTTGGATTTATTATTTTTTATTTCTATTATATTTTCTGAAAGGGTCCTAGGAAAGGAATTGTCCACCGCGCTACCACAATACGTGTTGGCAAACTTCGCATGTCTTCGAAATATTTTTTTTCTTATTTCTCTGACATGCAGGTTTCCTCACAATGTTTTCCTTCACCACTGAGCACGTGGTAAATCAACACATAAAATTTCAATTACAATTTCATTGGTGCCGGCGGGGATCGAACCCGGTTTGCTCGCGCACTGTGAAAATTTCAGCAAGCGCTAACCATCTGAGCTACCACGGCTCCTCTCCTCTCGAGCTAGAGACTTTATTTTATTAAATAAACCATAAATTTTATGGTACGGTTTTGGTCGCATGCCAGCGCTTACTTTTGGTTCTGGCAAAAAGTTGTGAAACGTCTGTGAACGTCAGAATTGTGCAAATATTGGCCGCAGATATTTTACCTGCACTTCAAAATTTTATTGTGTGAGTATTTTAAACTATTTTTGCGGATTTGATGAACCATATTAAATAAAAAAATAGTCTCCTATCTTTCTCTCTAAGTTTTGATCTCCTAAAACGAGTTTGAGTTGGTAAAATCAAGGCAAACTTAGGGTAGGGTTGTTAATTATTATTTTGATAATAAAACTAGTGAAATTCCGCGGTTTTATATGCGCAAGCGTGAACGTAGTTAGAATATAATATAACCTTTATGTTTTACATAAATATCCTAAAAAAAACTTATTATTTTAATATGTTACTACCTATAAAATTAACAAGTTTATTGCATTTTTATTTGAGTAATTTTTTATGCAATTTCTTTATCTACGTCTATTTTTAGGAACCTTTATTTAGTCTGAATCATAAATAAAAACATCACAAACACAAAATCATACATAACAAAATCAACATACAAACTACGTATAAGTAAATAAATCAGTAATATAGATTACTGATTTACTTACTTATACGTAGTTTTCTTTTTTGCAGTTACAAATATCTTGTGAGGTTGAAAAAAGGTATTAATAAAAAAATAATAAGAAGAATAATAATTGACGTCAGCCACTTCTTTTCATAAAAATTTCAAATCATGGTCCATTAGGTTGCAGCTTCACCGAACCACAACTTATATATATATATATATATATATATATATATATATATATATATATATATATATATATATATATATATATATATATATATACTTATATAAATATAGTAATAATAATAAATATAATATAAATTTTTATTTATTTTATTATTTGGTATTTATCTTTTCATTTTGTGTGTGGCAGCCTCGTACCGGTAGGCGTAGTGTAGGGCGACCCCCCACTAGATGGAGTGACGACCTGGTAAGATATGCAGGAAGTCGATGAATGCAGGTGGCTCAGGACCGTGCTTTGTGGCATTACTTGGGGGAGGCCTATGTTCAGCAGTGGACTTGTGAGGGGCTGTAATGATGATGATGATGATGATCTTTTCATTTTAATTTATAATTTTTATATATTTAAATATTTATAGAACCGAACAGATGAGAAAATTATATGGATACCCTAGGAATAATATATATATAATCGGAATCGCGGAAACGGCTCCAACGATTTTAGCGACGAACGCTTGGATTTATTTTTAGAAAATGTCCTTTTGTCCGTGTTTTCAGGCAATAAAAAAACAGCTACAATATATGAAGGTAAATTTCGACAAATCACTAACGATCGTTATAGCTCAAGTGGTATGTCGGTCGGGCGTTCCGTGGTTCCGTGGTTCGCGTCCTGGCTCGGGTCCGGCTTTTTTTTGGCTTTTCCTTTTTTTTTTCAAGTTCCCTTCTTTTGTGAGAAAATCTATTATTTCAAACCCTTTTTTTTAGTAATTTTTAAAAATACGAAAATTTTAATAAAACTTGATTGCACTCATGATTTTTTATTCAAATAATCAGTTCAGTTTTTTCTATTCTGTCAATAAGATCAAAAAATATTATTTAAGTTTCATCAGTATGTAATTTATAAATGCAATTTCAAAAAAAAACGAGAAAAGCTCGGTCATCCGAGTACTATATATATATATATATATATATATATATATATATATATATATATATATATATATATATATAACCACTTATATATATGGGCGTATGTATGCACATATGTGTTCATTTAATAGCTGCAGCTGTTTGTTTATAATTTAAGGAAGTTAAAAAATTTGTAATCAATTTCTTACATTCAAGATAATAAAATTGACTTTATATTTTATTTTGTTCTATTTATTAATACCCACCCAGTATTACTAATCACAAATAATCACAATATCTCATTAGTTATTGTAATTGGGTAAAAAATATCTCTTTAGTTACTAATGCTATATTTATTATTTTAATAATTACCTACCCAGTAGGTAAATATTAAAATAATAAATGTAGCATTATAAACAGTAAATCTCCCTCAATTTACTAATATTGTTCCTAAATGAGGAATAGCAGATAAAAGATTAGTAGGTAATAACTATTGCTCCTAAAAATTATATTTGACCTCAAGGTAAAACATATCCTAAAATTCAGTAGCTAAATAAAATAATAATACCTACTATTCAAGTATATTTTCAATATGTAAGTAAATGAAAATAAAAATGAAGCACCATTAGCATGTAAAGTTCGAATCCATAATTAACATTTCGACAAATATTATAATTTACACTATAAAAAGCTAATTCAATATTAGCAGTATAGTATATATTTAAAAATAATCAAAATAGTCATTTTAGATAATATATGAGAATACATAATTCTAATA